TGAACGAAAAATGTACCTGCACAGAGCCTTTATTTCTAAGTGTAGGGTTGTAGTTCATTGACTTTAAAATTACTTAGTCTATTAATGACTCTTTAGGAAACTCTTCAACCCATCATGATCTTGAGTTTCAATGTGATTCCCTGTGATTATTGTGTTGCTATTCAGGGATGTTTTAAAATACACTGAATGCGCAAATGTGACTGAGCACAGTAGTGGAATATAGACAATCAAACAAAACACCAAGCTTTTTTATTTATTTATTACTTCTTATGTTTGAAGATAGACTGAGAACTTTGAGTGCTTGCATTCCAATGAGTGTGTACATGTAAATTTATGGCATTTGGCAGAAACTTTTATCTAGAGCAACTTGTAACCTTGTAAAAGAGGTACAGTTGTATGTTGACATCCTCTACAGAGAACAAAGTATATTTTTATCATAATAATAGTTAATAGTTAATATCATAATAATATTATAATAAAATGTCAAATATGCCAAAATTTGTAATATTTTCCCAATACTGTCTCCTCTGTAGAGAAGGTGTTCATTTAATTTCACTTAGAAAATCAACGAAACGTTTGACCAAGGGCACCAACATTTTTGCTGAAGACTGTAGGTGCATGTAGCATGTAGCATTAGGAGTCTTGCCCAAGGACTGTTATTGTGTGCTTTACAGGAAAAGAAGGTTTGAGCTTTTTATTCACTGTCACTCTTATTCAGCTTACACTGGCTTCCTGATAGCTTTTGCATTGACTGCAAGGTCTTGCTTATAGCATTTAAAGCTCTTAATGGCCGAGCTCTGGCCTATTTTACTGGTCTGTTGAAGCAGTGCAACTCATCTAGAGCGCTTTGCTCAACTGAGACAGCCTTACTTTAGGGTCACTTACAGCTCAGTTGGTGGAAGATTTTTTTATTATGCTGCTCCTAAACTGTGAAACCCTTCCAGAGAATATTATGAATGCAAGCATGATAGGTGTTTTTTAAATCCAGAGTAAAACAGATTTGTTTAGGCCAGCATATACAGAGTATTGTGGCTCATTTTCCCCTGTGTTCTGGTTGTGCTGTTGTTCTTCATTTAAACCATAATTTCAGAACGCACCACTTGTCCACACAAATTAGAAAGTTAGCTCACTCAGTCTTGGCAAGTAACCTGAGAGCTTTGTATGGTTTAAAATTTGCCTTTCTACTCGAGCTATAGAAACTACATCCAAACAGAGGTCTTCCCTCCAAACCCCCACTGTCACCAGTTCTGTATAAAACCAGATTTGATTAATACGTAAAACTGTCATGAATTCAAAGGAGAGAAAGGGAGTCATTGTTGGCTCTCTATTTGTCAGAGAGCGTTATGTTTACTGATTGTGACAAAGACTAGTCTACCCTTGCTGCATTGTGGGGCAGAGCTCTGCACTGAAATGAACAGGATGCAGCGTGGCAAAGTTGCAAGTGGACGTATACTGTTACCCACTACACCTGGGTTACTTGTGAAGGTCGAGTGCTAATTTCTTGCTTACAAAGGTTCGGATAAACAAACTAACATAAGTAAATAGTGACAACAGTGACCTTTGAAGAATCCAAACCCTCTTGATACCAGGGGACCCAGTCTGTTGTCTGGAGAAGTGAAGTTTATTTCGTGGCGAGCGCAGGTACCAGACACCCAGCCAGCCCGTAAGACATTGGACTAACACAGTTTTATAGCTGGACTGATAAGAAGATTAGACCCATCTTATACAGGTCAAGTAATAGGTGTGACAAACAAGACCATGTAGGGGTAAACACAAAATAGGCAGCCTAAAATACAACTTCAGCACATTAACACACAATACAGAATGTATAACACAGCACATTTCACAACAATAAATTCCTTCACCTTCAAATTCTGAACACTTAATATTCATCCAGGCAGCTGGACATATCAAATATATTTTGCTAAACTGTTTTATTTTCAATGTACTTTTATAATCTGATAAGCATTTTAAAAGTTGGCCATCGACTACTGTTTGTTTTTTTCTTAAAACCTTTAAAAATATTTGTCCACGGAAGAAAAAATGCCTGTCCTTTCATAAGGAAAAAAAAACAAAATAAACAGTAATAAAGGCTGTTAGGGAATAGACACCCTTTGTGGTGGACCTTCCTGTTGAGCTTTGGGTTTATTCATCCTCAGAAATTGTGTTGGTAGGTTCATTCTAAGGAGCTGTTTTGTATCGCAGTGGTGTTTTAACCAGCGAAAAGATGAGAGCCCTCAGTTTTGAACTTGAAATGGGGAGAAAAACATTTTTCTGTTTTCTGTTCATTCGCTTTCAAATACTGTTTGTTGTCGACTCTTCTTTTAAAAAAAAAAAAGCAATGTTGTTGCTTCGCTTCTCAGACAGGAAATAGTAAATATAATTACTAAAGTCATTTACGAAAATGCATGTGATTGGATAAACTGCAGCACAGGACTGCTACAGAAACAGCACCGGCTTCACCAGCTTCTTGTTCGAATTTTCCCGTTCCACCTTAAATGGTGGCTGAGGCACACAGGAATGTGGAACAGGAAAATTCAAACAAGCAGCTGGCGAATGACAAGCTGACTTCAGCTTTATGTCTTTTTGTTGTCCAACAGTTTCTAGTTGCAGATTAAACGTATCAGGAAACCAGCTGGAGTGCTTATAAATACAAATGAGTCTGTCAGTTTGTCTCTAAATTATCGATGTTCATCTTGTAATTATCTTTCTTTTTCTTGCCCTTTTGTTAGCTACTAGCTAGGCGAGATTGCCCGCGTTGCTATGGTTACCAGCAGTCTGCGCGCTGATCTTCAGGGTTAAAGGGTTTAAAACCATTTATTGTTAAAATTCTGTTAGAACTTTCAGCAAAGCTTTATTTTACTGCAAACGAGGGTAATTTAATTAAAATTTATTTAAAAATCTAATTCTGCTGTAAAGCTGCAACAGGGCAGTAAAAGAGCCGCATGTTGCTCCGGAGCCACATTTTGCCGACCCCTGCGCTATACTAAATAGCAGTTTAGCACTCTGTTGAGTCTATATCACTATATAGTATATCACTATACTCAATAGTGATACTCAATCTCCACCTTCATCACTACATTTTTAGAAATAACGATAGCTCAACAGGTCCTTAATGGTGACTTTGTTGTATGTGTTTGTATGTACCATGGTGTGTTTGTGTTTGTGTGCTTCCTCTGCTGCTGTCCAGTCCCAGACCGCAGTGTTCCAGCAGTGTGCTTCCTTGCACTCACTCCTGAGTTTAGTGTGTTTGCCAACGTTTGTCCCTCTCTGCAGGTGTGTGGAACACAGAGCTGTCCTGATCGTACTCTGCTGTTTTCGCTCACTCATCATGAAAACCTAACCTGTTTGGCCTGGCTGCCTGTTGGCTATTGATTTAGCCTGCAGTCTGCCTCTAACAGAGCTTAACCTCTGCTGTTTAAATGCTCAACCCACACCATCAAACGGAGATTACAACACATCCCCGGACTTGCCTGCTCCATGCTCCCTTAAGCACACACACACATATTGCTCGTGGTTTGCAGGGAGGTGCAGTTGTACAGTTTGTTTGCTCAGGCTCATAAAGGCTTGGGAAATGGGGAAAAGGCTTGGGAAAGCTGCTCTCTCAAATATTTGGATAGTGTTTTGTAAAAGAAGTGGAATTAGTTTTAGAAGGCAATACCTCAAAATGACTCCAAAGACCAGTGTTGATTTAGTCTGTCTAAATCTAAAACTGTATAGAGTGTATGTCAGGGACAGCTGATTCAGACCAGCTTTTAAAGATTTCCGTTTTTTATCCACTGTGCATGAGATGCAAGTGTGACATACATTCAGTTTCAGCCACTTTCTGAACTGTCTCAACACACCAATTGCAGCTGAATTATTAAACCGGTATCACAGCCTTTTAACATCCTATTTATTCATTCATCCATTCATTCATTATGTATTTATTTGGGATCTTAAGTGAATTCGCATTTATTTAGTGTGCTATTTCTTGTATTTATCTACTTAGGATATTGTGTTGAGTTTGACAACTATCCATCCATCCATCCATCATCTAAACCGCTTATCCTTCTGGGTCGCGGTGGGGTGCTGGAGCCTATCCCAGCTGTCATTGGGCGGAAGGCAGGATACACCCTGGACAGGTCGCCAGTCCATCGCAGGGCGAGTTTGACAACTAGCTCCTATATTAAGATTGGTGCACCTTTTAGATTTTTGTTTTTCTTTATTTGTTTATCATTTTCAAATGAATGCCAAATTATAATATTTTCTGCCTTTTAGTTGATTTAAATTATATCTAAATAATGAATATAATGAGAGATTTTTTTTAAAACTATATTAAAGTAATAAAAATGTCAAATTTATTAACTTTATTTTTTTTATTTTGTATTTTATTATATTCTCTCTCTCTCTGTCTCTCTCTCTCTCTCTCTCTCTCTCTCTCTCTCTCAAAGACATCTGCAGGGATGTTTTTTCACCCCTCTAAAGTTCAGTCATTATAGTTGGTTGCATTTTCTGCTTCTCATGAGACAAATATTCTCAAACACATTGTGATGTTGGGCTGGTCAGTCCATTATTAGGACACCAGCAGATTCTTTGTTTGATTTGTAAATTTTCCATTTCCTTTTCTCAGTGGGGTTCTTCTTGACAGCTACTCACCCGTTCAGACTCATAGCGCTGAGTCGTCTTCTCACAGTAGAAGGATGGACAGAAACGCCTGTGGATTTTGTGGAGCTTGATTTTCTCCTCTCTCTCAAAGATGAAAGCTTTAAGTGCTGTTTGTCTGGTGATATTTTGGTGGCCTTGCACTGTTGTTAGGAGTTCCATCTTTATCTTTTAATGACTTTTGAACCAGTTTTGAAAACTCCTGTTTATTCACTTATTTTGCTTTGGCTTTTCCTTCCGTATACAAGAGAATCATCTTGTGTCTGATCTTCTCAGCGACACCTCCTGAACATGAAGAACTTGAGCTTACTGGCTGTATTTATGGTCTTAACCATGGTTCTTTCCCTCGTCCACAGGTGTCCATAGGAAAGATGTATGAAACCCAGAGGATCGTGGTGGAGCCTGAACCAAAGAATTTCTGACTGGGCGTGGTAGAGGAGCACGGAGTGATGTGTGGAGAAGATTTAAAGGTTTGGAGATTGGCAGAACCCAGCTTGTCATCTTTACCCCAACTCTTCAACATGACTAGTGACCAGTGAAGGGGTGCAGGGTTGGTGTTACCGATGACTCACTTGTATGGTATATAGATTCTCTGTTCCCAGATTACCTCCAACACCTCCCCGCTGCCTCTCCCCGAAATCCACACTGCAATGTGCTGAAGTGCAGATAACCGGCGAGTGGAACTATAGCGTAGCAAACACTGCACAGCCTACCTTCGCAACCCACTGTCCACTGTTACAATTCTGCCCTTTTAAACTTGTGAAACTGTAGATATATATGTATTATTTGTCTTGTTTCATTAAAGGTATGTTAATTTGACTCACCACAAGCTGTGCAGTTCTTAATTGCTTTTGCTGATTGAATAATTACCAATGATTTGGAGGCGTTAAAATGTAGAGCATGCAAGTTTTTGCAGTGATGTTTTGCGTAGGTTAAAGGTTTCCCACAAGGCCGAGGGACTAAAAATAGACCGCTCTGTTAGTTTTCAGGTAGGGATGGCCTAGTAAACAGGAGGTAGAGGTATAAAGATCAGGTTACACAATGTCACAACACTGGGTCAGAGAGAGAGGGGCAAGCCTCATGTTCCCGTTCTGTCCTCTTCATATTAGCAGAGCAGTTATTCAGAAAGTGTTCCAGTCTTTAAAAACATACTGTACTGTGCAGAGGCAAAAAATCTAAAACTAAATATGTCATTAGAATGCGTTTAAATACACAAATACAGGCCACAAAACAAGAATTTCTCATTTATAAAAAAGTAGTTGATGCCTTGTGAGCTAAATATCCTGTTTTCTCCCTGATGCCCCCAAACTTTCCATAGCTTTATTCAAATTCACCACCAGCTCACCTGACTAACTTAATGAAGCACTGATTAGTTAAACCACACTCTTAAAAAGATCAACGGTTCTTTAGTAAATAAAATGGTTCTATAGAGAACCATGAACACTCTGTCCAACCCAGAGGACACATAACTTAGTGGCAGTTCTCGTCACTACAAGTTCTCTGGTACATTCTTAAAAATGATGGTTCTTCAAGGGTTCTGTAATAAAGAAAATGGTTCTGTATCGAACCATGAACACTCAAAGAGCCCTTTGCATGATTTGCATCATGAAAGTGTTCTTCGGATGAGAGAATGTGTTGTGTGTGATTCTAAATAGAACCTTTTTGAAAAGGGTTCTTCTGTTGTTATAAGCTTGTATCATAACAGCAGCAGAACCCTTTAGTGCTATATAAAACCATTTTCAAAAATCAACAGCACATTTTCCATCAATCTGAAGAACACTTATGATGCAAAGGACCCTTTAAACATGCATGTGTTCATGGTTCTGTTTAGAACCATTTTCTTTACTAAAGAACCCCTGAAGAACCATCTTTTTTTAAGAGTGCAGGTATTCTATAAGAACTACAGGTAATGCTGGGCTACTACAAGGAGAGGTTTGGAAATGGTTAATCAAACACACTGACATTTATAAAATCACTTTATATATTAATATTAATTGTATTTTATTAATATATTGATTTGTGTTTAATTATTACTCTAATAAAGGTGGTATTAATCATAATATAGCATTGATACCTGTGTATGTGTAAAGCCAACTCCTAATATCATGGGGGAAAAAACATTTGTCCTTGCAACGAAATTGCAATGAAATCTTTCATTTAAACACAATGTCCATATCTGAAATGTTACATTTCTTTTAAACAGTGTTTACTAAGCTTACCTGAATACATACAGTCACATGCAAAAAGTCTGAACACCCCTGGTCAAATTCCATGTTTTGTTGATTTTCTAAGTGAAAATAAGTGAACACATCCTCTACAGGGAACCCACTTCAATATGACATTTTTCTGTAAATTTCAGTGCACAGTTTCTGCTTGTTTGCTGAGTTTAACATATTGGAGAACAAAATAATGAAATCTAAAATGTGCCATTACTTTTGCACAGGCTGCGTTTTATGTTTTATTTTTCCCAATAGGTGCAGCAAATAAACAGTAATTGTGCATTAAAATGTGCAGAAGTGTGTTCTCTGACGTTATTTTCACTTACAAAATGAATTTCACCAGGATGCACAAACTTTTGCAAATGACTGTATTTGAAGAAAATGTGAAACTGATCAAACCACATGGCTAAAAATTAAGATTTTAATCACAATTTATGATGTTAACTCTAGTCTTTTGGTTCTGACTATCTTTTGGGATTATCACTTATATTAACAAAAGTAATAGAACTTTCAAATTTAGAATAAAAGTATGAAAATTACACATAATAAAAACTCACGTGGGCACTTCTTAGATGTTCCTCCAAGCTGTAACTATACAAAATTTCAGCACTTTAGACCATTCAGAACATCTTTTGTGTCCGTTTTCCTTATCATACTAAATTTAGTTGTTGAATGCGACAGAAAATAAAAGATTACGTTTGAGAGGAATAATTTTAATATGTGCATTAATATATGGACTAACTAGCATTACAGCAAAGCAGTACTACTGTACAAGTCACCTTATCACAAATTCACAACTTTTAGCAGCATGAGAGGCAGCTGCGCATCTTGAGTGAGGTAAATTAGGAGAACACGTGGAGGAACTGACTCCAGATGGATGTGTAAGGCTGTATGATGGGTAATGAGGTTGTCAGATGTAATACTGTGTGAGAGAAAAAAGCTTCAAGTCTACGTCATCTACAATCCACTCAGCAGAAAGAAGGTCTTAATAGGCCTTCATGTTTCCTACAGATTAACAAAGGCTGCTCTGAGCTCACCAACATCAAAGTAGCCACAATGAATTACAGTGATGTGACTGACAGCTCAGGAAGATCTGTTCTGCTGAACTCGGCGTATTAGATCACTGCACTCTGTGTTCAGACGTTTCTGTGCACAAAGTCAAAACAATGCTGAGTAGTTGACTCAGATACACCACCGTTAAGAAGTTTAGAATCGCCTATGGTATTACTTCTTTAATTTTAAGTACAATTATTAATTAAATATAAATATTAAAAAGCAATATTCACATAATTCTTAAACTAAAATGATCCACCAAGCAGATCATATCTTGGACAGGGTTGAAGGGAGCTGACAAATTGTGCAGCAACAGACAAGCTTCAGTCAGTAACTGCACACCTACAAACGATGCACCTGTATGGCAGGTGTTTCTGATAAAATAGCCATTAAATGTCAGCAACTTCCAGTGCATTTGTGCCATGATAGTAAAATAAACCAACATTGAAGTGGAATTAAGATGTAAAAAAGCATCCAAGAGACGTTTATTGTGAAATGAACTGTTCTGGAGTCAGAATGGTTCTCAGTGGAACCAGACATTCAAACTATGTAAAACCCTGTTAAAGCTACTTCATAGAAAGTTATTACATTGGATTCTTACACATGCAAATACACTGCCTGTAGTTTTGAGACGTTTTCAGCCTAAAACATTATTTATTTAACAATTTATTTATTTCACCATTATCAACATCACATATAAAACCGCAGGAGACGCATGTAGGTTCACTGGTGGTTTTGGATAGTAGAAATCTGATCTAGTAAGTTTCACTACAATTAACTATTTCATTTCAAAACACTCTGAAAGACTTCATTCATATTGAGTTATGCAGACATTGGTGGACTTCCCCTTCAACACCAATGTTTTATTCAGTATTAAAAGTGTTTATATGATACCTATATGAAGGGTTTTGCCCAGTTGCTATATTATGATTGATACCACCTTTATGAGAGGAATAAAAGTTTAAAAAGTTTTGCATTATATGTCACCTGGTATTCTTTTTAAGAACTCATATCCAAAATTGCTACAGATGAATATACAGCAAACTCTTCATATAGATGTATCTGCAACAATCTTGTTTTACAGTTATTGAACGCATTGATCCCCAGCTTTTGAACAGTGGTGTATGCATTAAATTTAGTGCATGCATTAAAATCAAATTTGACTTCTAGTTGTAAAACCTGCTATGATGAAACTTCTAAGTGTAAAGTGCGAGTGAGATAAATAGCAGGCAGAGACGACCTGAACACTCTTTTCCAGCACCCGCTGTAACTTGTCCCACATCTACAAACATGCCATATCAATGGAACCAGCTTGTTATGATTGAGTTCATATGGACTTTTCCCCAAAGCAGCTCTGCAGATATTGCACCATAGTTTGTTTCTTTCTTCAGAGCTGCATCGCATTTACCTCTGAACCCCGGCGCTTCGGTCTGTGTAACTTTTGATTAGTTAGGAAGTTTCTGCTTGAAAGTTTTAAAGCTATATGCATCATAATCAGCCGCACTCTCAAGGGACAAGCACGTTTATTCAGATGCTCGCTGTTTGCAGGTAAAAATATGATGCAACCCCCACACCCTTTGCCATCGTATCCTCAGCGCGGCTTTATCTGCACTCTGTGTATACACTCTACCACCTTCATAAAGGAACCGAGGGCATGCTGTATCATACGCATTATTATAATTCGTAGTTTTACCTAACATGATGTTTCAGGTTGGGAACAAAGAGGCAGTGTTTGTGAGTGGCCTTTTACAGATGTTGCTGCAGCCAGAGCAGCATATTTAAATGTTCTCAGACTGTGAAGTTGTCTCAGAACTCCAGTAAGAGCTGCTAGAGGCCTTTTATGCCTTTCATTACCACATTCTGTCAAAGTTCCTCTGGCACATCACTAGCAACAGGTTGTTTTTTATGTTAAAAAGCATTACATGGACATAAACCAGCTGAAATCATTATGATGGTGTCAATGGCTGTTGTCGATGGACCTATTTTAGGTCTCCGTACAGAGTTGCTAATAAATTTTGTTTATTCTGTACCAATACAGCAATGGAATGTTAGAGGATGTATCTACAGCATTTCTGGGGGTTTAAACACTTAAACTTTGTTAGACCCATCTAGCTTGTTGGTCCACCTTAGACGTATATTTAAAGACAATAGCTCCTTTGTAGATAAATGCATCAGCACTATACACCTACCATGACCACTACCATGTCAGATTCACTGCTCTGCTAAGAATGGTGCACCACTCAAATAACATCTGGTCAGTGGTGGTCACATGGTGGTCTCCTTACAGTGATGGATGAGAGGGGATACAGAGGGGAGCTGATTAGTCACGCAGAAACAGAAGAGCTACGGTGAGTAACTGGAAATCTACATAGTGCACCTAGATGGTAGGTGTTTCTGATAAAATGGCCAATGAGTGTTGCTACACGGCAGCTGATAAAGTGTAATGCGGGTGCCTTCAAAGTAGAATAAACCAACATTAAATAGGAATTCCAGCAAGTTTTCAAAATTTCTGCATAATGAAATGATTAAGGTGTCAACAAAGTCATTCAGAGTGGTTTAATATGACTGAAGAAACATGCAGAGTCGGAATTGTTCATAGTTGTGGTGACAAAAAACATACATTTGAAGCATTTAAACCCTGTTAAAAGCTACTTTGCAGAAATTTATTACATGAAATGTTTCCAAGTATACTGCCGGAGACATTGTTTTATGAAAGTTTTGAGAGGGCTTCGGCCTTAAACGTTTTTTTTAATCCATTCATGATGGACAGGTGCAGGGTGTTTTGTAAAATAAGCAGTACTATAGAAAAAAAAACCAATATTTTACCATTATCAAAATTACATGTGAAAATTCAGAAGACAAGTTTAGGTTCACTGGTGGTTTTGTATAATATATTACATATTAATACATTTATTAGTATATGTTAAATATATATTCCAAAATAGTAACTTTACAGGAGAAGGCAAAAACACTCTTACTCATTGTAAGTTAATGTAAAGGGTTTTTATTACAAGTCATTTTAGAGCATTTCTATTGGTCGATTCATAATAAATTTTTTACACGATGTAAAGGACAACAGGCATTTTCAAATTATATCAAAAACTGAAAAACAACAAAAATGGAGATCTTCCGACAACATTGAGAAATTTTGAAAAAATGGTGGAATTCCCCTTTAACACCATAATTGTAATAATTGTGCTATTTGAGACTTTTTCCCACTGGCTCCACTAGGATTTCCCATCTGACCACCTGCACAGTTTTGTTTCCCCATTGCGAACACAGGTGTAGAATGATGTAACTCAGGCGTAGAAGTGCAGAGTGGACTGTAGGACTGGAGCTGGGAGGCGCTGCTCTACACTCAGCTATACAGAGGCAGGTACATGGTCATGGGCATTTGAACTGAACTGCCCTGCCCCTCCCACAAATAACTTCTTTTTTTGCAACTGTTGCGAGGCTTCACTGAACGCTGACTAAAGTCCTGTTCAAATCTAAACACTGAGGTTAGAGTTCAGATTAACTACTTCATAACAACAAGTCTAATCAAAAGTAGGCAGGATGGAAAGAACAGACTTAGCACTAGTAGTTGGATCTACTACTTGACAAACAAACTACACAAAATATATCCCAACAGAATGACCCTGAATTGAAACACTGCATTTTGACAAAATGAGCTGCTCACTAGCATTTCTTATTAGGTTGAATGGGCAGTGTTTTGACAGTGTTCTTAGTTTAGTGACAGTTGCTACAAAACAACATTTTAGGCAGATCAGGGATCAATTAGTTATCTGTTCAGTTAAAAACTATTTATAAATACTTCTTTAAGCTATGGACGCCTCACTGGTTTAACCGTAAGAACTGTTGCATCATGAAATCAACATAGTTTATTGGCTTTAGTCCTGAGAGGTCTGATCCTGGAATATGCATGTTTGCTGGGAGGAACTCACCAGTGGCCTTCTGTTTTATACAATTAGGCTGGGTCAAACCACTCTGTGTCCACAAATGGTAAGGTGGCTCCTCTAAGCACCTGAAAATGATGCTACTCAGAGACTTTTAGGCCTTTATGGCACGAACACCACCAGATTCTTGGCAGTCATGTTCAGATGATAAGGCTGCAATTTTGTGAAACAGTGAACATACAGGATTCCAGTATATCACATATCCCACATATCCCATCTGAAAACAAACCTCTTTTTTATTCTATCTGCAGTTTAGATCAGGACCCAGTGACCAGTGCACCAGTGACCCATTTTGAATGAATGGAAATGAGCTGGGATCGATGGCGTGACCTTCACTTTACTATCAGTTGGAAATGCTCTGGAATACAAGGGTGTAGCTTTTGGCTTGACTGAGGAACAACACTGTGCTGGTCTGTGATATAATTTCATTGTAGGTTTGCATCAGTATCTCACATAAGAGTCCCACTTAAAGAATAAACCAACATATTAGTTTGGAACGGTCAGCAAAAAGGCCAATAATGTCTTGGGTCTGACTGAAGACCATCAATGTAGCCTTTTTGGTGTTACTGAAGACGAGAAATATGCTAGTCTTCACTAACTGATCAGTATCATTGTAGGATTTCACTATCTAAAACCAAGAGAACACTATCCTAGGCCTTTGTTGTGATTGAGGAACAACACTCAGCTGATCTTCATAAACTTGATCAGTATCTCACCTAACAGTTCCATCTATAGAACCAACCTATCAGTTAAAAGTGGTCTGCAGTGTACAGGCTCTTTGGTGGGACCATCAGTGTAGCCTTCTTTTAGTGTCTACTAAAATAAGTGTCTTCTAAAGTAAGTCCCTTTTTTTTCTTGTTTGTTTTTGTTCTTTTAGTGATGACTAGAAATGTGCTGATCTTCACCAAATGATCAGTTTCATTCTAGGATTTTTTATCTTATTGAAACAAAGTTCCCTGCAAAAACAATCAACACAAAAAAAGAAAAAAAGAAAAAAAGCATCCTTGGCCTTTGGTGTGACTGAGGCATCAAATGATGAGTATCACTGTTGTGTATACATTGTAGTATCTCACAGAACAAACCAACCTATCAGTTTAAATTGCTCTACAATGCACAGGTGAAGAGAAACAGGACTTTAGTCTGTTGGTATGATTAAACACTGGCAATGTAGCCTTTTAAAACAAGTGTACCCCTTTTTGGTGTGACTGAGGACCAAAAATATGGTGATCTTCACCACCTGATCAGTATCACACTAATATTTCAGTATCTCACATTAACACTGTCCCATCTAAAAAACAAACAAGAAAAAAACTATAGGCCTTTGGGGTGATTAAGGAATAACATGGTTCTCATCAGTATCTCACAGAACAGTCCAATCTACAGAACCTACTTATCAGTTTAAAGTGGTCTGCAGTGTACAGGCTCTTCGGTGTGAGGACCATCAGTGTACCCTTCTAAAATAAGTGTACACCTTTTTGGTGAGTGATGTGCTAAAACAGAACACTCCCATCTACAGAACAAATCAACCTATCAGTTTAAACTGGTCTGCAATGCACAGGTGAAAAGAAACAGGCTTTTAGTGTGTTTGGGTTGATTGAACACTGACAATGTAGCCTTTAAAAACAAGTGTACCCCTTTTGGTGTGACTGAGGACCAAAATATGGTGATCTTCACCACCTGATCAGTATCATTCTGTGATTTCAGTCTCTCACATTAACACTGTCCCATCTAAAAAAACAAACAAACAAATTATAGGCCTTTGGGGTGATTAAGGAACAACACGGTTCTCATCAGTATCCCACAGAACCAACCTATCAGTTTGAATTGGTCTGCAATGCACTGGTGCAGAGAATCGGGCCTTTAGTGTCTGGTGTAACTGACCATCCCTGCACCGTTTATGTCAAACCCCCCTTTTAGTGTGACTGAGGACCAGAAAGGTGCTGATCTTCACCAGCTGGTCAGTTTCTTTGCAGGCTCTCAGTATCTGACAGCACTGTCCCCACAGGGTCCTAAAAAGCCCTCCACTCGGACGCCCTGCAGTTCACGGGTGAGGAGAAAAGCTCTGGAAAGTCTTTGGCTCCTGGGTGTTCACGCGCTGTGGAGGTGGCCCGGCCGCAGCGTGTAGTTCTGTCCGTCGTTGTTGTCCCAGAACTCCGCCCCTCCGCCTCTCAGGTACAGAGCGAAGTGCACGGCGGCGCCGGACTCGGGTCGCGGGGGCGCGCACACGGTGAAGGCGAACCTCTCTCTGTCAGGCACCAGCGAGTGCACGGGCACGGCGCGCGCGTCCACGTACGACTGCCACTCGTCCAGCGTGTACCTCACGCCCACTTCCTTCTCGCGCTCTCCCGCGTCCGCAGCGACCCGTATGGTCCCGTGCACGCGCCCACAGCTGATGGCGACCCTCTCTAGCGCGAGGCCGCAGCGCCGCACGCGCGCCTCCACCTCCCCGCCGTCCTCGTGGATCCTCAAGGCGGGCGCGAGCGGCAAGCCCGTGAGGTGCAAAGGCACGCGCGGCTCCTCCGCGGCGCTGAAGTGCTTCACGCTGGCCAGGTTGAGGCCGAGCGCGTCCGCGAACCGCACGCGCTTCCTGCAGCCTTGCGAGAGCGCGCGGAGGAGCGTGTTCGCGTGCTCCGGGTACGCCGGCAGGGACTTGGCGCGCCGCCGGTCCCATGTCTGCGCGAGCTCGAGCTCTGTGGGGGAGAGGTCGTCGTCCTCTGCGGTGTCCACGCCGTTCTCCTGCGAGGTGGACATCACGGCCGTGAGTGCAGTGAGTGGAGCTGAGTGTAGAGTTTGGCTCGTGGGGGTCAGACACCCGGGTGGACACGCCCACGGCCAAGAGGAGGACACCACACAACTGGGCCGGTACTTCTGTCATTACCCCTAAACTCGTCAAGCCCCGCTGCGCCGCCTGCGCGACAAGCAGGTGAACTACATATAAACCTGAACTACAAGCCAATCCGAGCGCAATGCACGGAGATGCTGCTACATACTTAAAATGATGGTCCTTCAAGGGTCTGTAGTAAAGAAAATGGTTCTATATAGAACCATGAACACTCAGAGAACCCTTTGCATGATTAAAGGGTTCCTTGCACTGTTAATCATGCAAAGGGTTCTTCAGATTGACGGAGAACATGATAGAGAACACTGATGAGAACCCTTTTTGGTACTATAAGGAACCCTTTTCATCTACAGCATGTTCTCCATCAATCTGAAGAACCCTTTGCATGATTAAAGGGTTCTTTGCACTGTGTAAAGGTTATTCACATTGATGGAGAGCATGCTCTAGATGAAAAGGGTTCCAATATTGTTACAAGCTTGACATCGAATCAATAGAAGAACCTTTCTTTGGTGCTATATAGAACCCTTTTCAAAAAGAACCATCTGCAGCACATTCTCCATCAATCTGAAGAACGCTTTCACGATACAAAGAACCCTTTAAATGCAGAGGGTTCTTTGAGTGTTCATGGTTCCATATAGAACCATTTTCTTTACTGAAGAACCATAACTTTTAAAGCAATGCAGAGCAGCTCTTCATGGGCATTGTTAGGGGCAGGAAGCTCGACACTACATCAGTGGTCTCCAACCCTGGCCCTGGAGAGCTCCCTTTCTGCAGAGCATAGTTCCAACCATAACTCGCCACACCTGCTCCACCTAATCAGCCAGTTTTCCTGCCAAAACACACCTACTTTGACTCAGGGAGGTCTTGTTAATTCGCAGATTAGTTGGATCAGGTGTGTTGGGAGTGGGGTAAACACTTAAATGTGCAGAACAGGGGGTCTTCCAGGACCAGGGTTGGGAACCACTGTATTAGGGTTAAGTAAGGGGTGGGGCAGCTTACTGGATATAGATTGGAGTAAAACTCTGCAGGACAGTAGTTCCCAGGAGGAGGGTGGGTGACCACTGCACTAAATAAAGACACCAGCACTTACTGCACTTCCACCAGGGTTAATTCTTCCTAATCAGCTCATGTAAACATTAGCAAGTGCCTTAATACTAATACTGCGTATTTCTACATTAAAGTAAACAAATACACCAGGCTACAGTGGCGAGGGCCACTCTTCATCTTCATTCTCAAGGGTTTTTAGCAAATTCAGTGTTAACGATGTACAGAATGGTACATGTTTAACCACGTGTTCACTCCGCCCCCTTTTCTAAATGGTTACCTCCTGGAATGTGACACATGATGAGCAGAGCTTTTCTGCCAAAGTTTAACATTTTTCCTCGAGGATCTGCGGTGGAAAAAAATGCATTGGGCGGCAGAATGAGCCACAGACGTCCTGCCATAGGATATAATGTCATTTTGGGCGGAATACGCTCTGCAGTCTGAACGTAGCCTAACTCCATTCACCCCACTCACTGAGGGCTCACCTATGAGCGCCCTCTAGTGTTTTATTATAATAGGAAGTGACCAGGATCCCCATTAAACTGACTGTGCATATAAACAAAGCGATACTACAGCACAGGAGAGGAAATCGTTTCAGAGCCAGTTTAAGGGGAGCTTGGCCACTTCTTATTTCTCCTATTATATCCAAAATATGACTGCAAAACACCAGAGGGCGCCCGAGAGTGAGGTCTCAGTGAATGGAAGTGAATTTTGGAAAGTAGAAGGAAGTCTTTAATGAAAAACATAACGAAAGCTCACATCACATCCAAAGATAGCTGCTATCTTTCCATTTTTCCACAGAAACAAGGTTTTGGGCAGTGGGTGTTGGCATTACTGCTACTGAGTGCTGATTGGTTGGCGAGCTGCTCAGCTCATTGGCTCAGGCACTGTTAGAAAGTCCTATAACTGAAGTTCAGTGCTTAAAAATATAACAGTAGTGTTGAAATATTGTTTGCTGTTCTGTGTTCAGGAAATTACTGAATTGTTCTCTATAAAAATGTTTAAGCATTTGCAAACTATGATTTTGCTCAAAATCTCCATAAGAGCTCCATGGGTCGGTCAGACACCAGAGGGCACCCCCTGAGAGAGACCAAAATGAACATGTGCTCTTTTTCTCAACACAGATCAATTTTGGAACACTTTAAACTCCAGGTTTCTGTATTTCACTGCTGTATTTTCAAGATCATGGCTGAAATATTTGGTCGTTCACCGTTTTAGCCAAGTGATGGAATGTGTGCTGACTTGTTATCGTTTTATGTCCCATTAAATGTCTCTCAGGCATTTCTGGGACAGCGTACAGTTTACAGTGGACACCTCAGCCAAGTATGGGAGGGACAGAAATGTTACAAGTATGAGCCTCTCAAGAAAGCACACTACTTTAAAGGACATATGAATGTGGCTGTGCATTGAGGACTTGCTTGTGGGCACCTTTTCCTTTTTAGTATAATAGTAAGTGGTCAGGCTCCACCTTAAACTGGTGCAGGAGCAGAGATTTTAAATGTCAGCATATCCACCCTGGTTAAACAAATGTTAAAAATGTAGAAACGAACAGAGATTCTATAGCACATTCTTAACACAAGAGGGGAATAATACTAACCAACGTGACAAGATATTCTTAGTGCAGGAGGGGAGATACTACAAGCCAAGCTGGGCCTTGTAGAGTTAAATTTCTCCAATAAATCTTCTTTCCAAAAATGGAAAACTCATGCATGCCTACATGCTGTTGCCAGAAAAGTTCCAAAGCATGCTTTCTGTCAGGTTATATGCCTACTTACTTTACTTTGTGTTTCTGCAAATCTGTTCTCTTGGCTACACCTCCAAGCACACCTTCGGGTTTTTAGGGGGTTATGTGAGAGTTCTTTCATCCTGTTCCCACTGTTTGGAACAGCACAATGGTCATCCACTTTGAAGGAGTGAATAACACTAGCCAACAACGGCTGTGTCCTAAACCGAATGCAGCTGTCTTAATGCCTTGCTGCGAAAGGTCAGCGATACATCACAACATTTGCCAAGATAACGACAGCTCACTGCTATCTGTTAGCATTTATCTGTTTTAGCATTAACTGTTAGCATCTTTTAGCTTAAAAAAAAGGTATTTTAACAAGGGTAGCATATACTGATTTTTTTATAATCAAAATGAATAAGGAACTAAAATCAGTGCTGACCTACAAAATTATTGGCTATGTAGGGCAGGGAAGGACACTTCAACGGCCTTTAAAAATGGCCAAACTGAGGAACTTAAGCAACTTAAGGAACTATGATTAATCATTTTATACAAATATGCGATTTGGACTTATGGGTGTTACCGCCTGAGTACTACCACTTGAGTACTACTGCGTGAATACTACCGTCTGAGTACTGCCATCTGAATACTGCCGCCTGAGTACTACTGTCTAAGTACTGCTGCCTGAATACTGCTGAGTACTGCAGCCTAAATACTGCTGCCTGAATACTACTGTCTGAGTACTGCAGCCTGAGTACTGCCGCCTAAGTACTGCTGCCTGAATACTACTGTCTGAGTACTATTGAGTACTACCATCTGAGTGCTCTCTGGTAGTCTGCAAATGGTTGTGATATACTGAAGACACAGTCAGTTGTTCCTTTCAGAAAATTAAGTATGATTTCTTTGTTATTCAAAACACAAAGACGTGAGTGACCATACTGTGAGTTTCCTATTTTCGAAGAAGAGATATTTCAGTGTTTTTGAAAGCTTGACTGACTGCCATTGGACTGTGTTGAAGCCCAGAGAGAATCTACAGAGAACTGATACATTTCTCAGTATTAAATCTAACAGTGAGGCTGTGCTACGCACTAATCTAAATAATGGGAAACAACAACTTTTGCTAAAGTCTAAAACAGTGAATGTGTCCTTTAACATTGGTCAATATGAGCCAGGTGATCTGCCAAGGCTGGTCAAATATGTGCTCTGTCTTATGTAACAGCTGGAACCATTTCTATGTATTTTAGCTGAACTTCACGTCTTCCCAGAGGTGGAGGAAGGAAAGTCTGTGTGATTCAGATTCAAAGTAAAACACAGATGAAGATATATTTCAGTGTATTTGACTGAAGCTGTTCAGAAATACCCACAGTGGTACTTGATCACTGACTCACAACTCCTCATTTCTTTTTATTGTGTTTTCTATGGCAAACTGCTTTTAATCCAGTTTCCCGATATCAGATATTCAGTTAGAACTAATGAAAATTTTATTTGTACTTGCAAAAATGAACCAATAAACTAATCAATAAATAAAACGGATATGTAGAAAATCAAATTCCAATAAATTTCATTAGTAGGAATGATATTTTAGCATGTAAGATTTCAGCTATCAGTAAAAAGAATTTAAGCTTTTGTCAATTCATTTTCATGCGAGGATTTTATAATTGGCGTGTGGTAATTCAGTTTTCACACATAAAAATTAAATCTTACCATGCTAAAATATGAATTGCTATATGTATGTAATTACTATAAGTTAAATTGAATTGTTACATTTTCAAATTTAATTCTCATATAAAATTAAATCTCCCAGCTAAGAATTTAATATGAACATGTAATGTTAATTATTAATAAACCTGTAATAATATTAAATATGAGCCTGTTATATTTTTGCCTTTCAGTTTACAAATTTCATCTAAAATTTTAATTCATACCAGTAAAATTGCTTCTCCCATTAAAATTAAGTTTATTGGTTCTCTTGCTTGTCTATGGACAACCACCAGATGGTAGTGATAAAACACATCAGAGAAACCACTCACTCTCACACAGAGCAGTGTGTCATGAAATTTTGATCAATCACCTTGAAGCCCAACTAAGGAATGGTGTGGGTCAGACAATATAAGCCCATGCCATTGTCCAGGGATGCTTTAGTTAAATATCAAACATACATAAACAATAATAAGCAAACTTGCTTATTAAGTTAAAAACAACATTTGATTACACAGGATTGTACATAATCAGTTTATTTTTAACGTAATTAAACAGAGCTGTGCACTGGAAAAAATAAAAAACTGGACACGACTCATGGTCAAACAACTCAGTGATTAAGGCCACAGTCTGAAATCAGTTTGACTACCAGCTTCTAGTGGGCTCCTGCAACAAGAAAGGCATTCAAACATTGCTCCACACTGTAGCCAATGAAACTGTATAATATACATGTTGACCGTTAGATCATGAAAAGGCCACAATACTGTTCTTTACTGGAGCTTCAATATCACAACGAGTGCATTTAAGCATGGATTATACGACTTTTTCATGGATCATCTTGCCTATAACATGCATTTGCATCTGTACTTGTGTTTGTCTCTTGCTGGCACATTTGAGTGGGCAAAAGCCAATTACACTACTTCATTCAGTGGTATAAAATGGAATGTCTCAGCACCATATATAGGGATACAGTAGGGCTTCTCCTGAACACCTGAAGCACTGCGTTTTCTCTCTCTGTGATTCAACACAGTGAGCAAACGTGCAGTGTATGGGGGCCCTTGAACTGGAATTGGAAACCACTGTATATCACACATAAATGTTACGATGCCACGACAAACAGAGACATCCAGCAGCTCCTCAAAACTCAGTACACATTCTATAATTGTATAATAGCACTGTCAGTTGGTACAACAGAACAAGACTACAGCATGATCAATGGGATTGGTATCGTGAACCAATGAGAAATTCTGCATAATTCTGATGTAATATTATGTAATATTAATATAGTAGTGATTTTGATTAGGGCTGCACGATATGGACAAGACACTAGAACTGAGATTGCATTATAATATGCCTTGCAATATAATTAAAATACATTGGTCAAATCAAACAATGTGACATAGTTAAAGATCATTGTTTTGATTAAAAAAAATAACTGACTTGTTGGACTGTGTGAATACCTTGGTTCATCAAAACATCCATGGAAACACTCATCTAGACCTGTGATCGGTCAAGATGCTCACAGCACACAGGAAGCACAGGTTCATTTTGCATACCGTAACATTCCGCAATGCCGCAATATTGTAAGAGCAAACAAACAATTAACAAACGTTATATAGTGCAGTCCTAGGCTCTATCAAACTGATTTTCTTGTAAAGCAAAAACTTTTCCTTTAAAGAGGAACTCCACAGATTTTTCAAAATTTCTATATAATTCAGTCATTGAGAGGTAAACAAAGTCACTTAAAGTAGTTTGCTGTAAAATAGTGCATTGTGGAGAAACTTACTTACTCTGTTTTCATTATAGTGGTGGTGACAGGAACCAGAGGTCACAATATCTGCAAATATAGTTTCTATCCAAACTGACCAGCGAACATGGATATATATATATATATATATATATATATAAATAAAGGGTTTTATGAATGTTGAATCTTTTAAGCCAAAAGCTAATCTCAAACCATTGTAAAACAATGTTTCAGCCATCAGGCAATGTATTTGTAACCATTTCTTGCAATAAATGAAACTGACTCGGTACGTTTCTTAATCTAAATCAATGGAATTCCCCTTTAAAGTGCTAACGCTGCAGCTGTATGTGGTTTGTGTTTTATGAATGACCACGTGAGGTCCAAAATCAGGACTTGGGCTGTCTATAAGATTCTTCGCTAATGTTCTTCTAAATTAATTTGCATGATTCTGTCTCTTCTAAAGCTTCTAAATTTGATGATATTGAACATGAACTACCAAACTTAACTGTAAGCCCCTCCCAGCCCTGCTGCATATCATTATTCCAAAGACTGCAATTACCATTACATAATTACTTTTATACAATAACAAATCAGACATTAAAGCTAGATATCAGTTTTACACATTTATAAAATCTATAGTAGATCTAAAAAAACAGGTCACAGGTGAATAAATCTGTGATTTTCTCTTAATGTCAATATTCAAATTCTGTGGGATAAATGAGAGACATACACAGTGTGACACTTACAAAAAAGAGCCTTCATTAGTCATTAACTGTGACTGGAGAGAATCATAAACGCTGAAATGTGTTACTGTTGCCGTAGTTCAGCATAGATACTGGGTAAAGGGGATAAACCAGTGGGAGAGAATGCCAACAGTCCACTGAAGAAGAGCCTGAGGGTCCGTCATGCCTCCTCTGCTGTATATATACGGTACATCAACGTGACGATGGCTGCAGCGAGGGCAGGTATCAACCAGTTGGACCACCAGCTTCAATATGACACAAAACACAAACATAGAACAGTCATTGACTTTAATTATAATAATGGATGAAGAGAACGCTCTCCTTGTACACTCTTAAAAATGAAGGCTGTGAAAAGGTTCTTTAGATTGTTGCCAGTAAAGAACCACTTTCGGTTCCCTAAAGAATTTTCAATGGATGGTAAAATCCATGGTAAAAACTTTTTAATGTGTTTTTGTTATTTAAAATAGCTTAAAACATGAAAATATTTGAAAGTTTTTTTTTGTTTTTTTTGTAAAGTGGGATATTTGGTAAATTGTTGCCATATGGCAACATGTGCAATCGTACCACAGCACCATATCATCTAAAAAAAAACACCATAAAATAATTTTTTTCTCTAAAAACATCCTTTTATTGAAAACAAGACCAAACAAATCTAACTTATACTTAGTGAAATGTACAACCCAATATTTACAAATATTGGAAATTAATACAATTTCAGTTGGTATTTGGAATGTATGGTAATAACAACATCATAATAAGAATTCCTGGTCATGTGATGTCATGAAGTATTTGTCCTTTCAAAGTAAAAGACCCTTTTTTTCCACAATTAAATAGGAAAACACAGATCATAAGTTACTGCTTTTTATTAAAATTGAGATTAAATAATTGTTGCCATATGGCAACACCATGCAATAGAGGGTTAAAATAAGCAATGAAAGTATTGTAGTACTGCAGCTGGAGCTTCCCAGAATTAGTTGCGGTTTCTACGAATTGGCTCTTATTTCTGTTGTTTTTAAATAGTCTTCCTTATAACATTTGCATTTGTTACGTTAGGCTGTGTTCAGACTGCAGGAAAATCAGATTTTTTTCTCAAATCAGGTCCTTTGAGATGACTGTTCGCACTGTTATTTGCAAGTGATCAGATCGGAGTTGCATGGGTTGCATGGGTTGCTGTGGTAATAAGGTAGGGTTCAATAACTACATAGCTATGCTGGTGACATGGATTTCAAACATAGATGCAGGAGAGATGGAGCTGCCTCATCTCACCCTCCAAACTCTTCAAAATTCTTTGGCATACGCCTGAATCTTTGATGCTGTTTTAAATCCCAGTGACTTCCTTCATGCATCCAGACTGAGACACATCTTTAAAAACCTAATTAGAATCACATTTCAAACCACCACCAAATTTGGTTTGGATCCGATTCACAAAAATCATATTTCATGTGGTTTTTTGCTGTCCAGACTGTCAAAAATCAATCTGGATATGTCAAAAATCAGATTTGGGCCAGCAGTCTGAGCAAGGCCTTATTCTCATGTTAAATGTCAGCTGAGGATAAATCTTACGTTTTCATTATTCTAACCATGTTAGATGCCGTTTTGTGTTCACATTGACCAGGGGTCTGTCTCATGAAGCAGGATTTCTCGCTTTGCAAACTTCAAAATCAGATTTCCTCACTTTTTTGCAAAAAGTTTGATGTAGTATGTAAACATTGTTAAAGTTTCTAAATGTACCATTCACTCTCTAGTCCATACACAGAAACTAAGCTTGAACAATTCATTGTTTCTATGATGTCACAAAAAGCAGCATTTGCATATATTCACCTATTGAACCCACAATGGTTTAGCCCCGCCCCTTCACACTAAAATTATAATAAGTTATTCAGTTCTGAGTGTATTTTAAGGGGGGCAAAATACAGGGCAGCCAATCAGAACAGAAGAGATTTACATACGTCAGTCTAAAAGGCACAATAAACAGCTGTTTATTCTAAAGGATAAAGAGAGGCTGGAAGATGGTTATGTAAAAATGAATTAAGCTCAGTTCGGTTTAACTTAATTTTCTGTCCCACTATGGTGGATCACTTTTTACCTGGCGACATCACCATGGCAACCTATGCAACTTCTGATGGAGGTGGACCCCTTTGGGCTTTTTTCTGCATGACATTTGTAGTGTCAGCTATGTGAAAAATATAGGTTTCCTCACAGGAAATCATACTACATAATATCAAGAACATAAAGCACTCGTTACTCCAATAAGAACTAACACAGTGGAGGTTGTGACAGTGGTGCTATTGGTAGTGGTATTAATACCACTTAAAGCTTTTTCCTAGAACCGTACCATCCGACCCAACAACCGATCAGGAACCTTCGTATTATTATTTTTTTTTGAGTAAGCATGGAATGAATACCAGCTTCTGCTGAAACTTGAAGACACCACTTAATGTGAATGCAGGTCAGCATTGTCAGTAGCAATACAAATGAAACAATGACTAGTCATTGTCTGCCATAAAAGAGGAAATGCACAGAATGAACTGAGATCTTGGTGGAGTTCACTTAGAGTCACCAAGAGTCATTGATAACCCAGCAATACTGCACACTCATAAGTCTCATGACTTATTTCACTTAAAAGCTGATGCTAATATTTACTAGCAAAGGGGAAAGGCACAGTTTAAGCTTACCTTGTGGTTTCATGAACTGTTGTTACAAGTGAGTCCTGAAAAAAGGAGGAAACAGAAAGAAAATACTGGTGAACATAGAGATTATTTAGTGCTAAAGAACACAATCCTGGTTCTAGAGTCACTCCTGTGTGGTCAATTTTAGTGTGTTTCCTCCTCTAACGTCCATTTTAAACCCATAAAGGGGATGACATTTGAGTCAAGTTAAAAGCAAGGAATGCAAACTGTATGTATTTCATTTTGAACACTCATATGTATAATGCAACTTTACATATTATTTGTACATGCATCCACATACATGTATCTACAATGCAACTGTACATACTCAATGTACATTTATTTATTTTCAGAGTAATATTGTCTTGTACATCTATAGTCTTGGAGAATAAAGATTCTAATTCTGATTCTAAAAGCATTGTATTTTGCAGTGTAGTGGTACTCCAAGGCCACTAGTGGGAAACACATTTACTGGGAAAGGTTTTATTTAAAATCTTTCATGTTTATCAAGGAAAAAGTGAGGAAAATCTGTTACACACCGGTGGTTTGGCAATCTTATGTCTGTCATCCTGGAGAGGAGAGAGAGAAAGAGAGAGAGAGTGGGTAAGGGTGGGTGTTGTTGACAGAGACACAGGGTCAATGCCATTTGTCACTAAATGTCCTTCGTCTGCTTTACAGACGTTCCATTTCCAGTATGTGCTCTTACAGTTTCGCACAGCATGGCTTTTCGATTTTGAATTCTCCAACACAATTACAAACCTCCAGAATTCAAAAAAGTTGGGACAGTATTTGAAATGCAAATTAACAACGGAAAGCAATGTTTTGTAAATCTACTTTGACCCGTATTTAAACAAAAACAGTGCAAATTATAAAAAACAAAATATAATAATCTTTACCTTATCAACTTCATGGTTTTTGTTGTAAATATATACTCTTTTTGAAATTGATGCTTGCGACACGTTCCAAAAAATGTTGGGACTGGGGCAATTTAAGACTAGAAATGCTGTGTTGTGGTCTGATAAGTTAGCCTTTCGGAAATCATGATCTTTGGGTAAAAGAAGCAAAAGATCATCCAGACACACACACACACATATATATATATATATATATATATATATATATATATATATATATATATATATATATATATATATATATATACACACATACATATATATATAAATATAAAAAGATCAAAGTTCATAATTGTTGTGTCTCTGTACTGTTTTCAAATTAATACAGGTCAACAAGATTTACTAATCACTACTTTCTGCTTTTATTACCATTCCACATACATCTGCATGTCCCAACTGTTTTGGTATTGAGGTTTGTAAAGTAAACATATCATCATGTTTAATTCAGTCATAGCATGCAACGCAGTATTACACTCAACCCAGTAGGCCCAATAAAATGGATGGATGGATTCCAGGTAGCGCCTCAATCCCTACAGGTCATGAGAAACATCTGGTATGGCACAAGCTACAATATGCCTCTCGCCACACGCAAACATTTGTGTAGTGTAGCAGCACAAAGCATAATCTTCAGCAGTGAGAAGGTCAAGGCTCATTTCTAGATTATGCAAGAGAATGGAGGACACAGAAATGTTCCGGCTGAGTGAGAATTAGTTATGCCGTCATGATTCGCTGTGTTTGCACCAGAGCTGGGTAATATGATGTGCTATTGTTCCGTGTATATCACAAGTATCGTCAGTACTTCTACAACACTCACTGAAAAAATTATTTATAGAGAGCCTGTAAACAATACCAGTGCCAGTGTATAGTAACTGCATAGTAACAAGTTGTAAATAGAATGTCAGCCCATTGTTGGTTTATCTTTTTATGTATTTCTTTTTACAAACTGTTTGATTTCTCCCTTTTCCCTAAAAAAAGATTATAAATTATATTATAAATTTATCTGACACAATTCATACACAAATCAGAAAAACTAAATATTCTGATACATGTCACCGTGCATCATGAAAATATCTTGAAGTATCTTGATGTTCACACATTCACTGTGAGCCATGATTGTGTTTGCATGGTAACTTATAATGCAGTACAGCGATCTACAATCCTGCATCAGACCTGTGACACTGAGGAAAGAAGACTGACTCACTGGATGCAGCTCTCCTATAAGCAAGGTGCTGGCCATCTCTCTCGCATCTGTTGAGTGTCCCACATCCTCAAAGCTCTCTGTGGCGTCTCCTCCTGCCTGCTCCCGCAGCACTTCCTCTCCACCTGGGTGCTGAGGAGCCACACATTCTCTCAACCGTTACTGATTCAGCTACTGATACAATACAATCATCTGGAGGATCATTCTGATCAGAAACCAGCCTTATCTTTACTAACATTGTTAGTGGGGAAAAAAAAGTTGTCAAAAGACAAAGAACTCCAAACTGGCAACTTTACAGGTAACAGGAGAGAGCAAAAACATTTCTAAATTTGAATGCAAGTTAATGTAAAAAGACTTTATTCTAAGCAATTTCTGAGCATTTGTATTGGTCCTTTCATCATGAAATTTATGCAAAAAGTGAAGGGCAGCTGCTGTGTTCAAATCAAGTACAATAAGACAAACTGAAACAATTGGAGATACTTTTCTTTTTTTTGGAAAAGCGACAATACATAATATTTTAACATCCACTTTTTTAAGTCTGTTAAATCCTTTACTCAAAGCCATTTAGCAGGTGGTAAAAAAGAGTGCCAAATGAGTGGGAATCTTTTGATTTATGTATCTATGTAGAGTCATATTTATTGCACTCCTCAGGGAAAATCAGTGCTTCTAACAGCTGTACCTCATGTTATTCCTATGACAACTTCACCATCTAGACTGTTAAACAAGTGTACTGCTTTAGGCTCAGGCTGAACTAGACTATAGTGTCATATCCTGTAAATAAAGCAGACATTAGTTCATTAGAGGGCTGCTGTGGTCTGCTCGGTATGATACGTGCCTTAATGCACGCAGAAGCAGCCGGACCTTCACCTCCAATGCACTTTGCCATACAAGAGATAAGTGGCCAACCATCTCCTAGGACTGTCTGATGAACAGGATCATAAACCAATAGCAGGTGATCTCTCATTCCCCAACAAAATACCCACTCAGATTTAAAGCAAAGCAGCATGAACGACTTGGGGACTTGGGGGGCTCAGAGTCTAACAGGGAGGGAGTATAAATGCACAAGCAGCAGCAACAAGGCTGAATGTGAGCGATAAACCCAGTCTTAGCTGTGTTACAGTATCTAGGCCTCATTAGTGCACCATTACAGATATTACACAAACAGGTGTGACCACACACGGGCTTCTGGTGAATGATCATCAGCGCTTAAAGGCGTGACAGAGAAGTGGAAAAACGAGGCTGAAGTCGGCGTCTAATTCGACTTTTCCCGTTCCACCTTAAATGGTGCAGCAGCTGTATTGACGCTTCACGCACCAGAGTGGCCAGAGTGTAACTGCTGCTCCATTTAAGGCGGAACGGCGCTACTCGAACAAGACGCCGGCAAACAGGATCCTAACTTCAGCCTCGTAGTGGAAAAATGCATCTTAGTGAAATTACAGCTCACAGACGGTCACCCACCTCCTCTAGGAACTTGGTGACATCGTACACTTTATGGTTGATGATGATCCATGTACTTTTGAAGGAGTTGTGCTCCTCTACTTCGGACAAGCGGTAATATGTCACAGTCTTCTCGTCTGATCCCTTTTCCGCCATTGTTTTCCCTCTGGTTCGGGTGTCGCTGTGGATTTGGGCTGCACGGCCGACCTAGCAGGACATCGAAAAGTTCAGCAATCGTAGCTACACAACTCGACAACTCCTCCAGCGTCCAGTTACAATTGTAGTTCCTGTCATCGCCAAGGCCCGCCCCAACCTGCCTGCTTTTGTTCTGATTGGGCAGTGTACATACCACGTTTCTCATTTATGCATTCTGATTGGATGCGGTCACGTCGCTCAACGTGACGAGGCAAAGGCCACAGAGTGACTGGGCAAAAGTTTACTGAAGTTCATCTCGGCACATCGAGAAAAAAAAAAAAAGTGAGCCTGCTTCTCACGCAAAATGGAAGTACAGGGGTGCCTTGGAGAAACGGCGACGTGAAAGTCACGCACATCATTCAAATGATTTGTTTAAGCCTTCACAGCAGAAATCTACGGACCTAAGGCGACATGGTGAATAATTTTTAATAAAGCGTGGCCACAAATTACTATATTGAGGCCACCAGTTACTATATTGAGGCCACAATTTACTATCTTGAGGCCGCAAATTACTATATTGAGGCCACAAACTACTATACTGAGGCCACAAATTACTATATTGAGAGCACAAATTAATATATTGAGGCCACAATTTACTATATTGAGAGCACAAATTAATATATTGAGGCCACAGTTTACTATGTTGAGGCTTTAAACTACTAAATAACGGCCACCAGTTACTATATTGAGGCCACAAATTATTATACCGAAGCCACGATTTACTATACTGAGGCCACAAATGACCATATTGGGGCAACAAATTACTATACGGAGGGTGCAATTTACTATCTTGAGAGCACAAATTACTATATCGAGGCCATAATTTACTATCTTGAGAGCACAGATTAATATATTGAGGCCAAAGTTTACTATGCTGAGGCTTCAAATTACTATATTGAGGCCACAATTTACTATATTGAGGCCACAAATTATTATACTGAAGCCACAATTTACTATGTTGAGGCCACAAATTACTATATTAGGGCAACAAATTACTATACCGAGGCGGCAATTTACTATCTTGAGGCCACAAATTACTATATTGAGGCCATAATTTACTATCTTGAGGCCACAAATTACTATATTGAGGCCACAAATAACTATACTGAGGCCACAAAATACTATGTTGAGCCTACCAGTTACTATACTGAGGCCACGAATTGCTATTTTGAGGCCACAATTTACTATACTGAGAGCACAAATTAATATATTGAGGCCACAGTTTACTATGTTGAGGCCTTAAATTACTGTATTGATGCCAAACTGCTATATCGCTGCTGCAAATTAATATATCGAGGCTTACGTAGCTTAACCTGTGGCTCAATATATATTTATCTGTGGCTATGCCTTATTAAAAATAATCACCATGTCACTTTAGGGACTCTGTAAGTATCTCATACCTAAAACGTTGACATAGCTTTAACAGGACGGCACAACAATGGCAGCAGCACTTTCTACTTTTATCTACTTTTTTATTTATTATTTATTTATTATTTTGTCATTTCTGGATAATTCACTGTAACTGCTATACATTGAAAATGAATAGCTGAATGAAACCGGATAGGAAAAAAACCCTGACAAGGCTCGTTGTGAAAACAACTTCAGAGATGCCTGTTAGCTAAACTAATCTGACTGAATACCGTTACAGTAAACAGTAGCTAGACGCCATTGGGTGAATAGTGAAGTTAGTCAGGGGTCTGGATCTTAATAAAACGGTTTTTAGGTGTAGTCGTTCAGCTAAACTGCCTTTCCACCTACATTCACTCAGTTAATATACGACAACAGGAGAAGCAAGGCAGGTGAGATAACGTTAGGTCGCTGTTTCTCAGAAACTCAGCTGAACCAGGCTAAACCGTTTAGCCTGGCTAAGCTAACTAAACCAGCTATTATGATCTGCTGAAGTTTACTTTTACTGTTACTGTTACTACTCAGGCTTCAGCAGAGCAGCTAGGCAGTTAATTGGCTTTAGATATAAGAAGTCACTTGTAATATAGCCACATATTTTAGCTAGCTAGCACTGTAATCTGACATTAGGGCGATTCAGTGTTTCTCAGTGGTGTTGAGCGTTGTAGAGCCAGTTAGCCAGCCAGCTAATGCTAACGTTAAACTGTTCATTAGTATGAGGTAAAATTCCCTTATTCCGTATTTAACCAAGCTTTATAATTTTTAGATGTAGCCTTTTAAATAGGGCTTGGCAATATGACGGTATTGTTAGCCTGATAAATTTTGTTACAATACAATACAGTAATCTTTTCTGCACATATCGCACATAAGTTATATCGTCAGTAACGTTACTTACACTGACCAACTGCATGTTTCATTATAAAAAGAGCAAAATTAGTCCCGTTTAACTGGATGCAGTGCAACACAATATGCAGAATATTGAATTAAAATCATTGTATTCACAGTTTTAGATAGATAGTATTTTTAAATGGAGCACTACTGGTCCTTTTTTGCCTGTTTGGACTGACAGAATGTCTGAAAAGTAAATATTGTGACATTATATCATGAAAATTTCTTAAAGTATTGTGATATTAGATTTGTGCCATATTGCCCACCTCTACTCTCAAATGGTCTAGCCCTGTCGATATAAGCTTCAAGCAAACTTTGAATTGACAGCAGGAGATTTTGGCAGAGTTGAACCTTTGTGCCTTCTGCTTGCAGCATGACCGGACAGAGCGAGCAGTGTTTGTTCTTCGTCTCCGTGCCAGACCTGAGCAGGCTGTGCCGTGTTTTCCTGTCCTTTCAGAACTGTTCTGATGAAGGAGAGCTAAGAAATAATCAGCTGAAGACCTGCAGGTGGGCTTTGCAAACACACTGACAACACTTGGCAGAGAATTTGGTAATTGTAGGACTAGCTGAGTGATTTTGCTCAACATAAAGTACGATAAATATTATTCTATAAAGATATAGATGCTATATGCCCAAAAGTATCCAGACACCCTTTCTGATTATTCAGCTACTTTAAGATGCACCCACTGCTGACACAGGTGTTCAGTTGCACACAGTTGCACATACAACCCAATAGAATGGGATGCTCTAGAGCAGCAGCACAGCTTTATACCCCCCTAGCTGACACCTGTGGAGCAGTGGAACTATGTTGTCTGGGGTGATGGATCATCCAGTATCTTTAAGATGAGTTGGAGTGCAGTTAGTGATCCAGAACTAATCATCGAACATCAGTACCTGACTTCACTAATGCTCTTGTGGCTGAATGCAATCCAACCCTCACAGCAGTGTTTCAACATCTAGTATAAAGCCTTATCAGAGGAGTAGAGGCTGTTATTTCAGCAAAGGAGAGGATAAACTCTCTATTAATACCCTTGTCAGAAGAAATATGGGATGAACAGGTCTCTACAGACTTTTACACATATAACGTACATATATATATACATATATATATATATATATATATATATATTCTCTGTAATTTTCTGTTGTTTTTTATACGTCGCTTAAGAAACGTCATGAAAATGATGTTTATTTTTCACTCTCTTTTTCAGAGAACTTTTGCTTCTGTATTCAGGCGTCGTTGCGTCTCCTGTGTTGGGCTCTTATGGGGGGATCAACGTGATAATGGCTGTAAGTATGAAAATTACCTTGTGACTTGATGGTGTAGTGTATCGCAGCACAGTTACCACAAGTGATGCTGTGATAAGCCTATCTGCACAGGAAGTATCTCTACTTCCTTGCAATGATCTTTTTCTCACAGATTCAGCTAAATCATGATTGTTTACTCTTTTAGAAGAAAAGGTGCAAAAAGGGTTCTTTGAGCAGGGCCTTAGAAAAACCACTGTTGGTTTCCTAACGAACCATGTTTGAAAACAGATTTGTGAGTGTGAAGAACTTTTGTTAAGGCTTAAAGAACCTGTTAATAATGTATAGGTTTTTTGCCAACTTTAGGTTTCTTCCTAGAATCTCATCATTATGTGGAGGTTCTTTAAACTTCAAAAAGGTTCTTCAAACTCACAGTTCCCTGCTTTAACCCACCCACTTCAACAGAGGTTGATAATGAGCTAAATGGTTGGATCAGGTGCGTTGGAAGCAGGGAAAACACTAAAATGTGCAGAACAGTGGGTCTCCAGGGCTCTAGGGTTGGGAAACACTGGTCTAAAGAACCATCAATAGAAAGAATTTTTAGTAAACAGTCCTTGTATGGTCCGTGTGTCAAACACAAGGCCGGCAGGCCAAGTCAGGCCCGTGACACAGTGCTATTGGGTCTGCAAAATTATTTTAATTTTCTATTCTTATTAACCCGTTTCACCCAGAGAAGCACAACAGTCCCCAGCATGCACTGCAACATAGTGTGCATTCTGACCCCCAACAACAATCTATGGGTCAGCGGTTACACAGAAAGAAAAGATGCCTGGTGTCTAGTTCAAGCAAATAGGCAGTTAAAAACCAATTTATTTTTGTTTAGAATTATTTTTGAATACGTATTCTATGCCTGTTTTTCTGTTGCAGTTTTGGCATATTTTAAATAAACAATGGCCCGTTCGGGTCACGGCAAAATGTTAAGTAAAGATTAAATAAAAACCAAACTGGCCTGCGGATTTGCTGAAATTTTTAATATGGCCCTTTTAGTGGTTGAGTTTGACACCCCTGTTCTGTGGCATCACTCAGAGAACCGTTTTTGGAACATTTATTTTTTCAAGTGTAGTGTCACAAGTGTAGAGTTACACTTATTTCAGTTGTTTGATGTTTGTGTGTGTATTTTCATTTATCTTTTTGGATCCCAGCTGTTTCACATTATCCTCTTTATATTTTTTGTTAAGTAAATGGTTTCAGTGTTATAATAAGGGAACAGATGTGCAGTAATCAAGCATCAAACAAACAAGAAAACACTGACACACAACAAAGAAGGAGAACCATCCCTGATACAGACAGGTTAAAGATCATCAGACAACCTTAATTGACAGTTAACAAAATTAAATGTTTTGGCAATGCTTGGTCAAAGGAATGCATAAAAGTAAACAGGTAAACAAGGTGGCAAAAAGGAAAAGAATGAGGAAAAAGGGGATCAGTTCCTTCTTTCATCAGCTTCTTAATGTCTCTGTTTGAAATAAAAGATAACGTGATTTCCAACCGTTTTAAATTTAGATTGTTTGCCTTTTAATTTATCGCTGTTGTCAGAAGAAAACCTCATATCTCCAAATGAGAACTTTACAGGAGGAGGAAAAAACCTACTTTACTTATACTGTAAGCCGGTGGAACCAGACATTTCATTTTGGGCCGTTTATCATTAAACTTACACACAATCTAAAGGGCAACAGGCTTTTTCAAATTATGTCAAAAACTGAAAAACGGAGATACAACAGCGATATGTATGTTTTTCCATTGCTAAATAAAAAAATATTCTGTAGCCATTGCATAATAGAAGTCCTCTCTGTTCTATTAGAAAATAAAGCTGTTATATCAGATCATCGCTTCTAGATTAAAGCTCACGAGTGCTGCTTCTTTGCATCCCTTTTAAGAGTTTGTGTGCGGTGTCTGTGCGTGACAGTGTCTGTATGCGTGCCTACACAGTCCGTGCTCAGGCACGCTCCGTGAGAAGCCAAATGGCTGGTGCACATTCCAGACATTCTGTCAGCTATCTTCCCGTTCTGGATTCAGGCCAACGTAAAGCAGTGGCACAGAAAGGAAGTGTCAGGCTCAGCTAATGAGCTGCCCATCTATTTAACCCTGCTTTGGAGCTCTTGAATGTGGATATGATGAGCTCAACAGGAGCTTTTCACTCATATTGTGCATACAATGTCAAGCTCCAGGCTAAGCCTTTCACTTCAACTAGCAGCTTCGGTGATGTTTGAAATACTGGTAAATAATTAACTATGTTATGGTTATGTAACTGTCTTCTGTACTTGTACAGCCAAAGGAGACACAAGCAACATAAAATCATAAAAGATGTTGGTGGGAGTATTGGTGAATTTTATTTTTCATTCCATTTGCTCAGTTGACACTGAGTTATTGGTCACCTGTCAAATTTCCCCTTTTTATATCAAGACTTTAACCTTTAGTTAAGCTCTACATTCACCATCTGCTCTGTTTGTCTTTGTCACTCTGAACTCTTACTTAGATAACATTTTTCAAGAGAGGCTTCGTCCAGGCCTATGCCCAGACGCATGGTCTACAGGTCAGTGAGGATTTAAAGAGATAGATGAAGGTGTTGGCAATGGCAACCAGTCCCTTTATCTAATTCAGATACTTTCATGCTTCTGAAGCTATTCTCAGTCTCTGCATGCAAGTTGATGTCCAAAAGTGTTCGGACACCTCTTCATATTAGTGAATCCAGCTACTTTAAGGTGCACCCATTGCTGACGAAGACATTCAATAAAACCTTGTAAAAAATCTCCTTAGAAAAGCATTGAGTGTAGGGTCACCATGCCTAATGGCAATGGTCAGCTGGAGGGGTATGAACCCCCCCCCAGCATTGAGCTGTGGTGCAGTAGAACTGCATTCTTTGGAGTAATTAAGCTCCATTTAGTACCTTTGGGATGAGTGGAAGAACTGCTTGTGATTCAGAACTAATCATCCAACATCAGTGCCAGACCACACTAATGCTCTCGCAGCAGAATGCAATCAAATCCTCACAGCAGTGTTCCAACTTCTAGTGTAAAGCCTTCGCAGAAGAGTAGAGGCTGTTACTGTACTAGAGGGGAACAAACTCCCTAATAATACCCTTTATTTCAGAGGAAACGGTGAATGAGCAGGTGTCTACACACTTTTGGACATATAGTATAGTTAACTTTTAGGAAAAGGTCATTCAGGTTGTTACAATTATGCACAAGGGCAACGTTGCAATTATTTTACAGGCCAAAAGATTGACAAGTATACTCACATGACAGAACTGTAATATTTTGTGAGGAAACCAATTATATAAAAAATCTAAGCTTTGAGATATTGAATGTAGTGCACAGTTTTACAGCACCTTAAGTAATTGTGAGTAGAAAGAATGATTTATTTGCTAAAGCTACCTATTTATGGGGGCACTGTCACTTGTCCCATTGACCTTTGTGTTTGAAGTCTCTTTCTGCACTGTAATGCTGAAAGCATAAACGTTTATGTGGAGCATTACATAGTTCAGGCCACAACACTGCAGTTGCAGAGGTGCATATTTTTACTATGTACATTGGACATAATATGAAATTCAGGGTACAGAGGGTTCTGTAACAGGTTTAAAAAGCATATAAAATTAACTGTAGGACTATTCTGTGATTTAAAAAAAAAATCATTTAAAATTGATCACCTAAGTGAACTGGCTATAATTAGTTGCTATATGCATGATTATAACACATATAAATTCACCTACTGTTTTTTTGTTTTAGTGAAAAACAGCCTGATAGATGCATCCATTTATATGCATTTTCTTTGCTACAGAGCGTTTTATTCATTTATTTTATTTAAGTCATTTTAAGGGGTTCCTAATTTATTTTTTCCAATTAAATGTAAATGTATTTTGCAAAAATGTAAAAGCTTTTCTTAATTTGCTGCTGTTTGGTCCATTTTATTGTTGACCTTTAATAGAATCACTCTGATTAACTGTATTAAGCTTAATGAATTGTACTGAGCTTTTCTATAATACATGATTTTCTCCTTCTGCTCTCTGGAGTTTAGTTAGGTTCTCCTCAGAGGGTTCTGCCAGATGCTCTGCAAACCTGTTTGTCTTACACCATTACTGCCAGACTGGCCCCTAACTGGAATAGAGTAGGCCAGTACCTTATAGCAGGTAAGATACAGTAAAAGGGGGAAAAATGTCAGTACTCCAGCTATCACTGGACTACAACTGTCTGTTCTACCACTTGTTTGTGGTGTGGGGCTAATGGCTTTATGCCCATCTCAAAGCAATACTTTAGAAAAAGATCACATTTACACAGTTTCCCTTTATGAGAAATGTAGTTGATCAGCCTTATAGCAAATATAATTGATCACCTAACAAAATTTTATTTCTTTTTGTGCTGGAGCTATGAGGCTAATGTAGCTAACAGGTAATAAAATGTAATACCCCACCAATTAGCATCATGCAAACTGACCATTTTTATTGGTACACAATTGTCACACAGTGTCCCCCCAAAATTGGTAGGATAAAAGCTACATTTGCTTCGTAACTCCTGTGCAAAACTGAAGAAACAACCTTTGGACATCAAACATGTCTTGACTGATTGCATTTGAGTGAAACTGTGTACATTTTTCGACAAGTTATTGCTGTAATTTCTGCTGGACATATATGATTGGCTGGCATGATTTAGTTTAATATAAACAAAATGAGGCATCTCACATAAGGAATTCAGCTTTATTCACAGATCAATCCAAATTTATAGGGATGATTCAGTCCCATTCTCTCCTCCCACTGTTTTTATGAGTGGCTGTAGGGATCAGACTTTAGATTTTTTCAATTGGGTGTTCTGCTTAAATGCAGAACAGAGAGATATAATGAGAACAGTAGACAATCAAAATAGGAAAAGATGTTAGTCAGCTGGTAAAGAACCACCGAATTACTCTGTATTTAGTATAATAACATAGTAGGCCTACAATAATAAAGTAGGCCTTATTATTCTGTTATCATCTATGCCTCTCCTGTCTTTTGTGGAATGCTTTCTCATACGAAGTTACCACTGCAGATTAAAGGTCACTGCCAGCTCTCTGTTCTTTGATTATGTTGTTAACGTTTAATGCAGTCTGGCTCCAAACTTGCTTGCTGGTTAGTGGTGTTATTAATGATTTGGTCACTGTCATTACTGAGCTAATGTTTTTATATACCTTACAATTACATTCAATATCATTTTACTTTTAACCACTACAGTCAGTGAAAGCTGGTTAATAAACTATAATAATTTCTTATGTTGTGAGTTGTTGCAGTTACATCTATTCAGAATAACACCTAGAAGGATTAGTTTAGGCTATATCATCAGTAATGATATTTCCTAATGCATGTAATACGTATGCCACATTAATGTCATTAAATGGTATTCATTATGTGAGTTTTCATTTCAGTGCAACCCTGAAATCATTCAAAAGTTTGCTTAAATAAAGTTGCATGTTGTATTTACTTATATTGTAGCTCATCCAATAAAGTACATACAACATTTGTGCAAATAATCTCCGTCGTGGGTAAACCTTGCCAGTGCTTTGTCATGCCCTTGTGCTGGAGGACGTTGTGTGGTGAAACGGCCCTAATTGGCCTTGAGCTTTGTTGAAACTTTAACTTTCTTCCACAGCTATCATAACTTCAGAGATACCCTTAATTCCTTTGGCAGAGGTTTGCAATACTGTCAACGTGCATACATGTTTTAGATGTTATTTCACAAATAAATGGCAGCATATTATGAAACAAAATTAATATGTTTCCTAGCTGTCATATCTAAATCTCATAACTCAGTTTTTTTCCATTTTCTACACCATTTAAAAATAAAATGCCACACCTTACATTGTGGGAACATTTCATGACAAATTGACCAATAGAAATGGTCCAAAATAATTTGGAACCAAATCTTGTTACATGAACGTTCACTGAAATTAAAATCTTTTTTCCTTCTCCTGTAAAAATACCATTTTTTACACCTGTGACAATTTAAGAAACGTTTTCCTATATTTTGCTATGATTTTTTTTCTTGTCTCATGTTGACAGAGTAAAGAATTCCCTTTGCAACATCTTTAGAGATGCAACCAATATTATTTATTTCATGCCATTACAAGAAAGGCTAACCATTTCCTTGCATTCATGCTATGTTATGCGTTCCCCAGGAAAGGACTTCCTGTCTGATGCTGGAAAACTGATAGCTGTTGGTAGGTTAGAGTTACGCCTCCTTGCTCTAGATTAGAGAACAATACTCCGACTCTTAGCTGCCCTTAATAGTTTCTGTTCATTTCACTGTTCGTTTAGTGTGTTACTGGGTATCTGTGTGAAATGTGGATGACTCAGTAATGAATAAATGCTCTCTAAAACTAAATTTGTTCCCTGTTTGGTGGCATGTTACCAGATGGGTTAAATTCCTTATAGAACTCCACCACAAATAATGCCAAAAAGTGTCCTGAGTTCATAAAAATCCAACTTTATTTAAAGGGGAATTCCACTGATTTTTCAAAATTCTTGTAAAATTAAATTGTTACGATATAAACAAAGTCATTTAGAGTAGTTTGATGGGAAATGCTCTGTTTTAGAGAAATTTACCAAGTCAGAATTGCTCTCAATGGAACCAGATGGCTGAAGCTTTTAATGCCACTAAAGGTTCCCTCACAGACAGTTGTTACATGAAATGGTTACGAATACACTGCCTGATGTCTGAGACATTGTTTTAAGGTAAGATTTTGGCTTGAAAAATATTTAACAGCCATACATGGTACATGCAGTGCAATATAAAGCAAAATAGTCGCCAAAAGAAACCATATTTAGCCATTTATTAGGCACATATAAAACTCTTTAGACTATAGATTCACTGGTAGGTTCACTGGTAGGTTCACTGCTCATTTTGGATAGTAAAGAAAATGGCTATGTTTGTGTTGTAGACACCACGACTCCTATCACAAGCATTGATGAGTCAGTAGGTTTTTCGACAATGCACAATTGCGCATCAAACACTTTGAATTACTTTGTTTACATCTTAATGACTTAATTGTTCTGGAATTTTAAAAACTAAGTGGAATTCCCCTTTAACATTTTACATTATTGGACATTGTGTAGTTTTAACAATTTAATTAATTTACAATTTAATTATTTATTTATCTCCTGACAAAAATGAATCTAAAAAGTAAAACCCATCTCATAAACTTGTCTTCTCTATTATCCAGCTAATAATCTGCAAAAACATTTTTCACCCCTGCTTTATATACCTCTTCACTGTAATGAGCTCTTCTGATCTGAAAAAGAGTATCATGTACACAGTTTATAGTAGTTGGTGATTTTGGTGCTGATGATGTTTGTGTTTTGTTGACAGTCCCGGAGCTGAATGTGAATGAGACTCAACTGTGGGTCAGTGTGAAGGCAAACACTGTAAGGCTTCCTCCAACTTTGGTAAGAAAGAACTCTTATAATAAAAAATAATGTATATATAATAATCTTTTGAATAACCAGCACTTTTATATGACTTAATCTAGCATTTTCAATACATTTATTGTCCTGGGGACAGGGGGAGTGCTGTTAACTTGCAGTAGCCCAGGTATTTGGTTTTGTACTAAATACTTAGAACTGTTAGAGTTGTCTATCTAAGCTTGCAAAGAGATAGTTGTTCTGCATTTTACGCCCAGTACTGTGCAAAAGTCAGAGACCATCCTTCATTTATTTAATTTCCAGTCAAAATGACCATGAAGTACAAATGTACATTTTTCAGGAGATATTTCTGAGAAGGTGAGATGAGATAAGGAAGGACAATAAGTACAAGATTGGTCGACCTAGTAGGCAAACAAAATTTATCATCAGATAAACAGCACTTGAAGCTTTCACCTTAGGAGAGATAGAAGAGATAGGAGAGAGGAGAAAATCAACTCCATTCTGCTTCAGATCTGAAAAAATCCACAGGTGTTTCTGTCCATCCTTCCACTGTGAGAAGACAACTCAACACTATGAGTCTGAGGGGAAGTGTAGCTGCCAAGAAGCCATTACTAAGAAAAGGAAACAGACAAAAAGAAGAAAGTTTGCAGGTCAAACAAAGAAGCTGCTGGTGTGTTTTAGAACAATGCACTGACCATACCAGAGCACAGACCTCAACATCTTTCAGTGTGTTTGAGATTTACTTGAATCATGAGAAGCAGAAAATGCAACCAGCTTTTAAGACTGAACTTTGAAGATGTGGAAAAATATCCCCGCAGATTTGTTTGGAAAACTGAAAGCAAGTCTCCTGAGTAGAATGGACACACTAATACTGGAAAAAAAATGATATTATGTTTTATCATTGAGGCTTCTGTGTAATCTTCTGTTAAATGCATGTTTTCTGCTTATTTTCCTGACTCTGAAAGATAAAAAATTAAAAAATTTAAAAAAATTTGTTAAGCTGTTACTTAACAGCTGCTTTGACTGGAAATTAGATAAATGAAAGGTGGTCTCTGACTTTTGCATAATATTGTATATGTATTAATTGTTCCCTGACACTATAGAGTGATAATATAGGTGTAGTCTTGAGACTCAGTGTCAGTATGGATGCATTCTAAATACTAGTCAGCATTTTGACAGTCTGGAGGCAAAGCCCACTGCTGAATGTCATCTATGCTCATAACAGATACTTCAGGCGAGAGCATTTCAGTAAAACTTCCTGTAACACCTTTGACATATTTCAAGATGTGACCTTTGGCCTAGTCACATTGTACCTACCTGAGCTCACCACAGGTGAACTTTTGCTATACATGACTACTGGATGAACGAGTTTTCTTCATTCAGTCTGTTTAGCTAAAACAAGCTTTAGGCTCCCTCCAGTGTTATGTGTGCTCAAGCTGCACTTATGGCCCTCCAGAAAGGTTTAATCTTAATAGTGCTTAAAATGTTGGTATTTTCTTGTGTTTCAATTAACTTGCACATTAATACAGAATTCTGATATTTCGTATCAGTTTAACCTTGCCAGTCTTTCTGTTTCTGTGGATTGTGATGGTTTTATCAAGTTTTATAGGCTCACTTGGTATTGTCTTCTCTCTCATCAGCTGGAAGACTTTGATGTTCCTCCTCTTGTGATGAAAAAGTTTCTCAGTAGCAAAGAGGCAATTCTCCACACCACAGTGCCAAATAACTGGTGCTACATACTCCCAAGGTGGGCCTTTTCTGTGTGGGCAAGTAAGTGTTCAGGAGCCTGTAGAAATAAATAAACAAGTACTGACTTACGACAATTGGTAATGGCTGTTTTTGACAGCATATCATTATTACACCACTTGCAAAATTAGACTACATATGTATGCACTTTTTTACACTCCTTGTGTGCTTGCTGTTTTACATTTTGACATAGTAAAAAAACACAGACTTACAATGTTAGACTTTCTTTATTCATTTTACAAATGAATAGACAAAGTGACATTTGAAATTGTCCTTCATTTTACAAAAACTCCAAATTTCATTCATTTAAAAATGGCAAAACTATTTTTTAGTAAAGGAGGTTAAGATTATGGTTAGGTTTGGGGTTAGGCTTAGAAAAAAATCTATTACATATAGATATGTGGGACATGTTATTGCTTATATTTTGCAAAAGCCAGAGACCACCATTCATTTCTAGTCAAAGAAAAAAAGCATTAATTACTAAGTTTTTAATTTTTGAGAAGATAGCTAAGTGGATATTAGATAAATGATAATCAACTTGCATAAGGAAGGAAAAAGTCAAACGAAAATAAGTGAAAAAAAAAACAGCTGGAGTTCAGTAAGTGGCTAAAAAAACAATGGACACAATGTTCACCCCAGCGCCCAGACCCCAACATTATTGAATGTGTTGGGGATTACTTGGATTGTGAGAAGCACACAATGCAACCAGCTTCTAAGACTGAACTTTGGAGGTGTGGAAAAATATCTCTGTAGATTTTTTTAGAAAAACTAAAAGCAAACCTCATTAAAAAAGGGAGGCTGTAGTTGGCACACTGAATACTGAAAAAAGTATATTTACTTGTTCAGACTTTTGTGTAGTTTTCTGTCAAATATATGTTTCATTCTTTTTTACTGACACTGAAAAATGAATTTTTGTACTTAATGACTGTTTTTACTGGAAATGGGCTGCCAAAAAGGTGGTCTCTGACTTCTGCACGGTACTGTAGGTACTTACATATGGAATGTATGTATGATCCACATTCTGACGTAGTACAAAATGTGTGTGCATATTACTAGCATGAAGAGGGGCCAGATCATCAGCATCAGTCGCAAGATACCCGAGGAGTGTCCATTCAGCTCTTATTCTGAGCTTCAGAATCACTGGACCAGCATGGTACAGACGCAACCTTATACACTTCATGTTATCACATGTTAATTCTCTTTTTTAGCCCATTTTCAACATGGATTAAACAATGACCCACTTGTTTAATTTATTCTAACATGGCACTTTTTATGAGGGGCTAGAGTTTTGAGTATTTCTGTAAATATTTAAGCAGCTAGTCAGCCAGGTTTTACCTTCACACTGGGTGAGACAGATAACCAGCACCAGAATTAAATGAATGGATCCATTACGACAACGTAAATACGTAATTGTGGCTTTAATTATGATTTGCTGTAATAAATAATTCATAAACTCCTAATTCATAAACATTTCTTGGATTTTCACTCCTTCAGCAAAAACACATGAAGTGTGTTTGTGAAAGGTGATACCGAACGACATCCAGATACGCCTATAAAGCTTGTCTGAATGTCAGCCGTGCCATTGTATGTTAGTTTACAGCACCTCGTTATTTTGAATTTGGCTCTTTGTAGTTTCATTAAATGAAACCAGGAGGGATTATATTTCACTTTGGATTCTCTGTTTCTTCAGAGGCCAGAGTAGTTCATGTATTCCTGCTGTGGCCTCTCCACGCCATGTGTTTTCCATTCACTCAGTGTTTTCTACACGGGTTTTATCACCTTCACTCTCACGCATGTGTAAATCTACTGTCACTCTGATGGCAGCTCACTGAGACACTCTCTAGAAGTTCTGAACCTTTGAGGTAGTTTCTGCACTGAATATTCACTTTGTTTACAGTAGAGATTGAAATCTAACCTTTGATCGCAAACAAACCCAAACCCGCTGCATGTTGACAGCGCCTGAAACAAGCAGATTGGCATACACACCCTTGCATATACTGCACACTGACATGCTGAATTTAAATCATTTTTTTTTCTTTTTGTTTTGCATCATTATATGCTTACAAACACACACACAAACATATACAGCTCTGTACTGAAGTGTTGATTTCAATCCACAGGCCCGGCCACTAGGGGGCCCTCAGCCAGCATGAATTCATAACAACCCACACAACATTTAGAACATTAATAAACTGAAATAACACAAGCCAATGAAAGTAGATTTAGAGAATTTTAAATTAATTGGGAATTGCTATCAGTTGGTAGGTCACATTTTGTAACCGGTAGGTGATGCATTCAGCAGAAGGACAAGGCTGCAGAGGTTTTAGGGGCCCAACATTTATTTACCCTTTAACATTCAGAGACTCACCAAGGGGTCCGGCTTCTCTTCAAAAAACAATTCTGCTATAGTTACGATATGAGGCTTGTAACAATAGAAGAACCCGATTTGGTGCTGTATAGAACATTTTCCAAAATGCTCTGTATAAAATCATATACAACATATCAATCTGAAGAACTGTTTTACCAGGCAGACCAACATTTAAGCATGCAAGTGCTTCTTTGAGTTCTGTGTAAAACCTTTATTGTTACTGAAGAACCATCTTTTTTAAGAGTGTAGTCTTTTGTGTCTGAGTGTAGTATTTTGTTTTCTTTGTTCAAGTTTACACCAGCTAAAGCCGTTTAGTTAGTGATACAGCCTCACTGTCTCTGCCTTAACAGCGCATCCTTGGCAGTTCACTCACATTAACCCTTTTCAGATTTGTTTCAGAGGCACAAAAAATATGATCTCTATTCTCTGTTATGCAGCCAGAAATACAACCATAAATGAAAATCAGTCAATAAAAATCAATAAAAATGTTCACAAGAGCATCAACATCCCAATATTAATATATACTTATTTTTTAGAGTTATTTGAAGAAGACTTCAAATAAAGTAGTGAAGCATATAATAAAAATGAAGGAGTAAAGTGATGCTGTAAAATATTACATATTTAGTTACAGAACCTCACACATACTTAAATACCTGTGCAAGTAAATGCATTTACAGACCACAGATGTGTTTATGTGCAAATGCAATAATAACATAATATATCTTAATCACAAATACAAGCAAAACTGTTGCATTTGTAGCCCTGTTAAAGTTTACAGTGTTTCACTGAATTGGCAGCTTGTATATGTTGTCTGACTTTCTGTGATGCCACATATCAAATACCCAAATATTTGAACATTTGTATCAGCTTTAAAGAAGTCTTAAATATTCTTCTTAGTCCTAATATTAAGTTTAACCTGATTCCTGCAGACACCCTTCTCTGTAACTGCATTTCACTGCCTCACTTGTCATTTGCAGAGAAGCGTGACTTGGAGGAATTTGTAAACCTCAAATATTTCACCACATTAAAAAACATTTGGCATGCTCAAGCAATTGAAATGAAGTTCAGAAGGGGCACCCTGCCTGGACAAGGGTATAATGTTTTATTCCTGTATGAAAACAAATGATAATTGACCCGCACTTATTTTGTATGATAGGAAATTATATTGTGCTCATCGTGTTGTAATGTTTTTTATCCCCTTTAGAGCATTTAGTAACCTACTGACCTCTCTGTCTCCCTCTATTTCTACCTCTCTATCTCTTTCTGTCTCTCTCTCTCTCGGTTTAGTATGGGTATCATCTGCCTCCATTAAACAAAGATGAGGTGGTGTACTGCAGTGTGTACTTCAAACTGATTGGTGAAAAGCTTTTCACGTATCTTTTTGTACATATAGCACATTTAAGCCAGTGCATCTCTCAACTAGAAACGTATTCACACACTTGTCCACTGGTTTAGACTGGAAAAAATATTAGCAGTTTGGTGTAATTTGGTTGGTGCATTACAAGCTAAAGTAATGTTTTTGTAAACCTTATTGAACCATAAGCATACTCATTAACATAAGGTGATTAGTTTTAATAATTATTGTGTTTCAGCCACAACAGTTGATACATGTCAGACTGGCAATGGCTGTCTGAATAGATTCTGTTTTAATTTGTCCATGCTTTCAGTGTTTTATTTCTTTACGCTGAATATGTCCAACTCTCACCCCATTCAAATTATATTTCTGCATATTGTTGCCAGATTTCATGTTCATACTGGCGCCAGTGTCTCTGGAACTGCGCCTGTGATTATATCTAGAAAGTCTCCAGTTACTTCATTTAACATGAATTCTAAAAACAAAACTCTCAGCATGTGGTCATATGAGAGCAGGTTGGCATGTTTGCTTAGCTAATTCAGTATTACTGTGTTTGTTACCATTTGATTTATTTTTTTTTCTGTTTGGGAGTGTTTGATTTAGGTGTGTGTCCTTAAAATCTAAATTGCTCAGATATCCTCTGAGTTGCATTCGCACTCAGCCAGTGCAGATCCTTCCTCGAGTTGACCTGCAGGGGGTGCTTGGAGCCTTCATGTCAGATCTGAAGAGTTTTCTGGAGAATATTTGTAGCTTTCCTGCCCAAATGACCAACAAGCCCTTCTACCATACTACCAAACTGAGCAGACCTATATCGCAGGTATGAGACAGCAGTCACTGTTCTACAAGAAAAGTGTTTTGTTTTGGTTATTTGTTTGTTTGTATACTTACTGTCTAAAGGTCAGAGACACCCTTCATTTATTTAATCCCCAATCAGAACAGCCAATAAGTATGTGTTACACAGCATCAGAAATAAGCAGGAAACATATATTTAAAAGACTTTTTTTCAGTATTTAGTGTGTCCACCCTTTACCTTTATTACAGCTTGTGTTCTTTTCAAGAGCCTTGCTTTCACTTTTTCTAAGACTTCTGCCACACCTTTAAAGTTCAGTCTTAGAAGTTGGTTATGTTTTCTGTTTCTCACAATTCAAGTAAAGCTCATTCAGTGATGTTGAGGTCTGGACTCTGAAGTGTCCAGTCCATTGTTCTGAGATTGTTCACGTGCAGCTTCTTTGTAAGATTTGTGCAATTTTCTTCTTTTATGTCTATTTTCTGTTCTCAGTAATGGTTTTTTGACAGCTACACATCCTCTCAGGTCCACAGTGTTGGGTTGTGTTCTCAAATTGGAAGGCTGGACAGAAACCTCCCAAAGATTAAATCTTTAAGCGCCATTTATCTGATGGTGACAGTTTTGGTGGTCCATCAGATCTTGCAGGGCTGTTTGGAGACCCATTTTCTCTTATTTTTTAATGATGTTTTGAACTCCAGTTTTTTTCACTTGTTTTCCTTTGAACTTCTCTTTCTTATGCAAGTGAATGATCTTGTGTCTAATCTCCTCAGAAATATCTTTTGAAAAATTAATAACTTGTACTGAGTGCCTGTTTTTATTAGAACCCAAATAAATGAAGGGTGCTCTCTTTACTCACTCTTTACTGTAACAGTACTGCTTTTGGTGTAGTTGCAAATAAACATTTGATTTAGACAGGATGTAAAGTTTTGAAGTCTTAGATAAAACATCCCAAACTGTTACAGACTCAGATAAAGCATGTTTTCCCTTCTTTACTCTCATATCTTCATATAATTGGATTATGCAGTGAGCGCTAATCCATTTTCTAAACAGATTAGTGGCATACGGAGTGATAAAACAGAGCTCAAAACACTTCAGTGAGCATGTAGTGATTACTTGAACAGCAAGAACAATATCACATTCACACCATTTAAATAGAGCTCAGAAGGAGCCAAGGGAAATCCATGCTGAAGTCTGGATTTTCATTCTAGCAGATTAAATTTCTCTGTAATTTAGCTTGCTGTAATAGAAAGCTATACGAATCATCCATCTGTTAATTTTTAACATACTGATCTTGTGTGTTTGTGTCTGAATTTCTCTTTAGCCATGATGGAGCCGTGTTATTGTGAAACCACTCTGTGATCTCTGTGAATACTTCAGTGTTGTATTTTCAGACAGAGACAGTGTCTCCCTCACCTGACCCTGTGCTGCAAGAATAATACACCAGCTGTCCCAGTGTGCTCTTAAATTTGGCAGGCGGGCTGTGAACATTTTCCTGCTCAGAGATGATAAATTACTTCTTGAGTCAACTGAATGCAAGCAGGGAGAAGCCTCTCTCGCTCAGAGACAAAGTGTGCATATACATCGGACAGCACTGTCTGAGGTAGCACTCCGTCGAGATCTGTTCTCCCAGACTTTCTGAATAATATAAGGTGACCGCGTAAAAAAGCATGTTATAGGAAAACTCAGAGTTTCCAGGCAGAACAATAACTGACCCTACATTAGGTCATTTCCTCTCGACTGGATTCCAGTCCACAGATGTAGAAAAACACTAGCAGTGTGTGCCAGGCGAATTGATTTTATTTATGCTGGCCCAAGCTCACTTTGGTGATTTGAAACTATGACAAACGAAGTGGAGTGTGATGGGAAAAACAATTTGTGTCAATCTCTGAGAGTTAGTGCAGATGGGGGGCTGTGTTTTAACCCTACTGGATGTTGATGATTGATAATGACACGTAATCATGATTAGATTGTGGTTTGTGTAGAAGAGGCATACACAAGCAGCAGTCATGACACTGTAACATGGGGCTTCAGGATTTGTGAAAACAAATGGTTTTTACTCATCCAAGTAGGCTCCTGTGATTAGTTTTAAAACCACCACAGCTGTGCTCTGTATTTTATTTCTGGCAACCTGCAGAACTCTAAAAGCACGTTAAACATCTCTCAGTAAAAAGTATGGTGCATTTATGCAATGAACCTTTAAGTTCCTGTAATACATCTGCATCATTTAAACAGGTTCCTCCAAGGAGAAACTGCGAGGGTTTTTTTCCAAGCAGATTAAATTTCCTTAAAACTCAGTGTTCTGAAATAGAAAGTGCTGCAAAAGTTAGAAAACACCCTTCATTTATTTAATTTCCCGTCAAAATGGACATTAAGTACAAGTTATTCATTTTTCAGGAAAAAGTCAAAAACATATTTAATGGAAAATTACACAGATGCCTCAACAGCAATTTTTTTCAGCGTTTAGTGTGTCCACTCTTTGTCTTTATTGCAGCTTCCCTTCTTTTTGGGAGTCCTGCTTTCAGTTTTTCAAAGTAATATGCAGGGCTTTCCACACCTCCAAAGCCCAGTCTTAGAAGTTGGTTAGAATTTGTGCTTCTTACAAGTAAAACACATTCAGTGAGGTTGAGGTCTCTGGGCTGGTCAGTCCATTGTTCTGAGAACACCAGCAGCTTCTTTGTTTGATCTTGAGTCTATTTTCTTTTCTCAGTAAGAGCTTCTTGACAGCTACACATCCTTTCAGACCCGTAGTGTTGAGTTTTTCTCACAGTGGAACGATAGACTGAAACATCTGTGAATTTTTTTCAGATCTGAAGCAAAAGTCCTTTTCGTTCTGTTTATCTGATGGTGACAGTTTTGGTGGTCTTGCATGATTGTTAGAAGTTCTGTATTCTCTATATGTTTATCAAAGAATGCAGTTCTTCAGATTGATGCCGAATGTGTTGTCTATATGGTTCTTTATAGAATCTTTTTAAAAATGGTTCTATATAGCACCAAAAGCGTTCTATGCATAAGCAATTTACAACATATTCTCCCATCAGTCTGAAGAACAATTTCACCATGCAAAGAACCATTTAAGCATGAAATGGCTGTATGTAGAACTCATGGTTCTAAACAGAACATTTCCTTTTACTAAAGAACCCTTGAAGAGCCCTCTTTTTTTTTGGCCATTTTGATCAGAGATTATCTGCTTTATTCTACTGGGTTGAGGAGGGTGCTGGAGCCTATCCCAGCAGTCATTGGGCGGGAGGCAGGAAACACCTTGGACAGGTCGCCAGTCCATCACAGAGCGTTCTTCTGTCCATTTTCAACCAATTTTTTCATTCTTATATTCGTACACTCTTTAAAATTGTCAGCTGCCTATTACACTGTATTAGCATTTCAATGTAATGTAATGGTCCAACATTATTTTTCAATAAATGTCAGTACATTCATGTATTTTAAGGTTAAGAACGTTTTGCTTGTTCTGTAAAGTTACCGTTTCAGAGTTATGAGGTTTTTTTATGACAGTGGTAATATACTAACTTTTCCATGGTTGTGTCAGACTGCAGCTTTTACAGTCCCCTCTCTTCCTCAATTTGTAGGTCCCTGGGGCCCCACCTGCTAACTTGACAACAAACACAACCAGCAGGCTTGTGCTGACCCAGTTCCACAGCGGCTGTGCACCAGGGAGGGTGCCTCTTTCTCAGTTAGCAGCCCCTCAGCGGCCCCTTACTCAGCCTAGAAGTCTAACCAACATCAGCAAGACATCTACAACCACAGAGCTTGGCAATTTTCAAACCCAGAGCCCCAGTTTGGAGTCGTCTCATTGCCATCACACATACAAACGCAATTTCCCCTCATCCCATACCTCACTCACACCATCCTCCTCTGCCTCCTGCCTCTCTTCTGTTCATCCTTTACCCACTCAGACTCAGCCTGCTCCTCAGACGCCCAAACTGGTTCCAATCTTCAAAAACAAATCAATCAGCCGCCATGTTAACGTCACTAAGATTCTGGCAGAGAAGCAGCAGAAGAGAGCAGATGCACAGAGCCAGCAAATGTCTGGAGGATCAGTTAAAAGACCTCATCCTTTCTCCTCTCCTTCCCCTTCATCCCACACTACTGCGGTTACCCTTACTCCATCATGCAGCCATCCACCTCCCCAAAGCGTCACTCTGCCCTTCTCTAAGAACCGTAAGAGAGAGCACAGAGTCTCTCTACCTGGCCCACAGGAACCAGTCTCTAAAACACAGCCACTCACCATGCCTGAGGTCCCCAGCAACAGAGGGGTAAGCAAGTAACCACCACAAACCTCTACAGGTTATCTACACAATTCAGTGGTTGAATTTCAAATATCTCCCTGCTGCCTGTGTAGTGTGAGTTTGGAAATTTTGGCTTCTTCACCCAAATAGAGCACTGTATGTCCATTAGGGCCATTATTTTAAGACTTACTCCATTTCTGAGCCATTTGAAATTCAGCCAGTCTAAAATGTTAATTTAACCCCTCAGTCCTATTATTTAGCTATAAATTTTTAATGCTGATACTGATTAGCATTACAGAAAATTGTAACACTTATTTCTAGAGTGTTACGAATGCAGTAAAATGATTAAAATGTATTTTGGCATTTGGCGTTTTTCCCCTATTTAGCTATGTCCAGTGCCACCTGCTAAGTTCTCCCCAATTAGCACACGCTTCCTCTGAATCATGTGAAACCAGTGCTGGAGGGAGAGAGTACTATCCCTCCCACCCAGAGAGTACAAGGCCAACTCGCTTGGACTCCCTGGCACAGATAGCTTTAGCATCACTTGGGATGGAGTGTGTGGTCTCCTGATGATAGGGCCAACACTTAGCCCCATCATGCAGATCTTTTAACACAGTAGCCCAGCGTTGCCTAAACAGTCTGCTGTTCAAGAGTACAATGAATACATCATTAGAATATAAGTTTTATATACAGGTCAAATCTAAACATCTGTCCAATGCTGATACTATTTAAGTACTTCTGCTAATACCGATATGATTTCAGTACCTACCGTCATACATCCCTTAAGGTATGTAGTTAAAAACACGAGTGAATTTTGGGCCCTTAGAGTTTAAAGGAATACTCCAGCGTTTTTCAGTCCAATCTCTGTCTGAATCTGTTACATGCAGTTGGTTACCATGCAACATTTTGACATGTTAGTGAAAGAACACTAATTGTATTGAGATTAGGTTGAAAATGTGAAATATAAAATACAGAGTATTCCTTTAAGGGGTTAAAAAACTGAACGGTGTGACCTCTATGACTGTACTATTACCATCATAGTCTGTAGATGTTAATTTAACCCTGATGATTTTATTGTTTATAATGCAGATGATTAAACATTAGACAAAGTATTTCAGTGTGCTTATCTCTGATGAGAGCCATCTAGTCCTCTTGGGGTAAATTCTGTTATTAATGTGGTCTTTTTCAGGGGGAGGTTTTTGAGTCCTGTCCAAAGAGACCCAAAGTGACCATACAGGAAGCAGATGTGGTGAAGTATGCCAAAAACAATCAGGTAATCTAGCAGCCCTCTTCTCTGCCATCTTTCCTCTGTATCTATGTTTCTATGCTGTACATAAAACACAAAAATAGCAATATACATTAGAATTCTAATGTCTGTTTCTCTGTCACTAAAAAATAAGAATTTCCTCAGTTTTATTTTGTTAGTTTTTCAGTCTCCATGAATTTGTTCACTTTGGTAAGAGAAAGTTTGTGTGTGAAGAGCGAATCAATTTGATTTAGAGTCCATCAGCACCTCAGAGTTGCTGGTCATAAAACAAATGAATTGTCTGGCTGTCTCTAAATGAAATCCATTACAAGCTTGGCATGTGCTCATGACCTGGATTAGATGCCATTAAGAGTGACGAGCCAATGCATCATCTTGATGTAAGTGGCAGGAAAAAGGTGCTCAGAGAGTTGAAGCATGCAGCAACAAAGAGTCCTGCCCACCTTTAATTAATAACCTGGCCACATGGTGATTATGGCCTCAATACCTAAATAATTTATTAATTATTATACTCATAATTACACCATCTCTCCAGTATTTATTCTGTATAAGGTCAACTCTGTAAAATCCAGTTTTGTCTGCAGAGAAAGAAAAGCAACATGACACTGAACTTGTCACAGGTCTAAAAGTGCGAGGGATTGTGTGATTATGAGCATTTATGTTGTATATGTAGCTATTAGTTTCATTTACCTTTCAAAAAGCTTTCCATGATGTATTATGAGGTTGTAATCATGTAAATGAATTAAGAAGACTGAAGTTCTAATATGAGATTACATAAAAGCTGATGTTTTGATTTTTTTTGTTGCTCTTAGCTGGCTAAGATCAACGTGGCAACTCTGCAGGCCTGGCTAAGAGGTCATGGTGTCACTGTGCGTTCAAAAGACAAGAAGGAGGAGCTGGTGTCAAAGGTCATGCAGTGCCTGCATGAGCTATGAGGCAGTGTAGTCAGCAGCATCCAGATGGCTCCAGGTATAAGATTCCTCTCTAGGTAATCCACACCTGAGCAGAAATCTAGCCTACAAAGCATTTTGCTCACAGCACTCATACTGAGCCAAGCTTTTCACTGTTCACATAAACTCTCACATGAACTGTTCACTGTTCACTTGAACTTTTTTCTTCCGTGACTAGTTTAGCACAAAGTTGCATTTTATTCTGTGCAATTAGCACTGGATTTTATAGACCTGACATTGTATTTATAGATCTAACAGAAATGTATCAAATCACACTGCTGTTACCTGTATTTCTGTCCAATGTTTTGTGTTTGTATTGATTTAAATTGTTTATATAATTTGTTCTAGGCACCTGTTCAAGAGCTTTATGTCAAGCAAGATCTGATCTTGCAAGGTTAAAAATGATTGTCTTACACATGAAAATGATGAATACAGATGTCTTCTTAGTATACTGTTGTCTCCTTTGTTTCTTTGGTTGGGCTATCAACTTCAAATCACTTTCATTAGTTGTAATAAAAATATCAAACCTAAAGTACCTTTGAATCCTCATTAGGATCCAGTCTTTTTGGTATCTTAATACTTGAAAAAGCAACCAGTTTGAACCGTTGAAGTTCTCGGAGTGATCTTTCCATAAGGCTCACACAGAGAATTTCAGATGACAGCAGGCTCTGGGTTCTGCCGACGCAGAGAAGTATGTGATGCAAGTGTGAAAGAAAGCTCTGATGGTGGCTCACACAGGCCCTAACGATACTCGTGATGACAGGGAGCAGGGAGCCGGAGGATTCCGACTGAAATGGAAATCAGCCCAAGCCACTTTGATGGCTAATGAAGGAGCCAAAACTCTGCAGCTTTCAGCCTTTCAAAAACACAATGTCGGACGGTCTTTTTAACACTTCTTACTTGAAAAAAAGGCTAATGACTCGTACAAATCTGATTCAGAGATCTGTGCAGAGAGGAGAGTTCATGTGAGGGCAAGACAGAGGCTTTTGCGCAAGTTTGAAGTTTTTAATTTTTTTGAAAGTGGTCTGCAATTTCTACTTCAAAGATTTTAATTTGAAACAGACTTCCCTTCCTTGCTGTACGTTAGGGCGACAGCTTGTGATTACGCTAAATGGTTTCGTATATCATGATGCTTTATGGATGGGATGTGTTGTTTGTGACATAGAAGAGCGATTATTTTTGTAATTAACGGGACTGTTTTGGTGTTAACACTTGAGCACATGTGAAAATGGCCTTGTGGTTTGTGATTCAAAGGAAACTTATGGTTTAGATCTTTTGCAGAAAGTACAGTGAAGTGGCTCCATGCCAGGATCCATTTGGCATGTGAATGCATGGAAGACTTTTTTTGTATTTACAGTTTCCATGTCCTTGGTGTAGATGTGCATTCACAGCGATTTTTCAGTCTTGTAGTTTACTGTCATACAGATGATGCCTGAGAGACGCTCAGTATTTCCTCTTTGAAAACAAAGTGAAGAAAAACAATGCTCTTGTTCAGTCTTCAAGCACCCAAACGCAGGTGTGTGGGCCCAGCTGGGGCTCGCTGCTCTTTCAGAGTGATGGTTCTTCAGAAACACCATGCATTTGAAAGGCAGTCGCCGCAGGGCATATATACACATTCTTCTGCCTGAAACGTGCTGAGTCATGCTCCAGCTTTACAGTTGAGGGCTCTAGGCTGTTCTCGCAGCCACCATTTACCTGAGCTCTGACCTAGCAGACAAAATCCTTAGCTTGAATCCTGGCTTAAAATCCTCCCACGGATTTCTGGATAACAGACGTCACATATTTAATGGAGCTGTTAATGTTTATGGTGGTTTTGTGGAGTGATGAGGTGTAATCAGAGAGGAAGGTGGTGTGTGTGGTTTGCTGCTATCCTGAGAGATACTTATGCCTCAAAAAAAGAAAAAAAAACACCATGTGATTGTCATTCAGATGATTTTTAAAACATAAAATATTAAGGTGACTAAGTTGGTTGTGTCTGTTCAGAATTCTTTGGAGTGATTTAGTAAAGTGCATGGTGGATTTCCATTTACGTGGAGAGTGGACAAGTTCAGATTAGATTAGGACTGGGACGATAAGCAATGTTGAAAAATCGATAAATCAAAATCCTCTCAGTATCAGTATTTACCACCACATCTACTTTAAAATGACATAATTAGTACGTCTAGGACAGATCCCATTTGCGCTAGAGGGGATGGCGAAGCTGTAAGGCTTCTTCACATCAAGTCCGATCTTTGGAGTTTCACACAAAGACTTGTGTTTTGTTCGCTTCTTTTAATGCTCTGAGCTCAAGATCAAAATCCACAGACTGCACTGCTTTAGAGCTCAACTCTGTGAGTCTTTCTAAGCAGAACACGGCCAGAAGAAAAATGATAACCTATCTGTCGTTACTGTTCAATGAATCCATTTATTCTTCCTCTTCGTCTTCTTCACATTAGTGTTTTTTAAACTTTGGGAGTAAAATTTCAGTGTGTTAATAAACACATGCTTTTTTCATCTGTACAAATAAGCATGGTGAGAAACGGCCTCACAACGACTAAGCGTTAAGCTATAAATAAGCTAAAGCCATAGCCAAGACAGCATAATTGGCCTTGCTCTCTCTGGGTTGGTAGGACAGCCCTTCTTCTCCTCCCCATTACCCAGCACGATTTACCTGTTACCTATTGTAACAGAATTGTCTGTTAGTTTTCTCCGCCAAGCGTGTTTAGCTTGTCCAGTGATGTTACGTTAGCAGCAATTCAAAAAGATGTGGTGGCACTTTACGTGTCTTGGAGGAACGGTGCGCCAGCCTTGGACATTCTAGCTTGATAGCATCATGTGAAAGAGGGAGACCTAATTGTCAGTTACTAAACTGGGGAGAAAATTGGGTGAAAAGAGAAAAACTATGAGTAAGAATGAAAAATGCTGTTTCTATTGCTGTTTTTCCTGTGTAGCAGCATGCCAGTGTGACAGTTTATCACAATGCACTGCAGTACTGGAGTTTCAGACCACAGATTGGAGTGCAGAACACTCATACATACAGAACTGAGAGACAAAAAGCAGCATTCTATTTATGGATTTCATGGCCATTAGCAGTAATTATCAATAAATTGGTAAGTGGTCCCAGCCCTACTGTTGAAGCTGATTTATGTATTATTCATGTATATTCATTTTTAATGAAATGTATATATTTTAATAATGTATATATTAATGTATATATTATTTAATATGAATATGTTCTAAAACATACTGAAAAAGCTAACTGAAAGAAATCTGTTCAGTCAGTTAGTGGAACGTCTCTTAATAAATTTTAGTTTAAGATGAAATTTTCTTTCCTTCTGGAGAAACGTTTACATTCTGTGGTAACATTATAGCTGCAGTCTTGGTCTAATGGTCTAATCAGAACCCCAACAGTGCTGTGATATGAGGTTAGGTCATAGTGCAGTTTCTCATATACTTAATACATGACTGTCCTGCTGAGTAGCTAAAGGGAGAAGAATGTTGGTGTTTGAAGAAGGTTAATGTGGGTAATGCCAAGGAGGCCAGCCTTAACACAGAGCAGGTGGCAGCTGGTTGACTTTATCCTTCTCCACAGGATCTAGTTAACCCTTATGTTGCCAGCCATGTATGTTCTCAGTTCACTTTGTCAGTGTATCGGTCTTAACTGTGGTAAAGCCGTTTAGTGCGGGATAATCCCTGACAAATACCAGCCGTCTTGAGTTCAGCAGTGGCAGCAAATCCTTCCTCATGATGTTTCTCAGGTATTTATCAACACCCTATATCTAAAATGAGATATTTGTTTCCACTGATGCAGCTCTATTTGTCCAGATAATTTGGTCATGTGGAAATCAAGGTTACTCTTTACTATGATCTCCCCTCAAAAGAGAATCCAGCAGATTTGTATGTTAAACTGGTTTCTGCCACTTTAAAAAACTACGTAGTGTCATTAAAACAGATGCTTTTTTTCATAATTATTACTTTCTCTCTCAAAATTACAAGATGCTGTCTCATAATTTTGACTTAATCTGATATATTGCAGTATCTCAGAATTTGATATGAGATAGTGTATCGTGATAATGACATGGTAGGTCATAATCATGATAGTTTATTGTAATTGAGATTCTGCTAGACAGTATCTCACAATTATGAGAAATCCCTGTTATTATGACATAGTAAGTGATAATAATGAGGTGAATCATTTGTGTTATTATGACTCACTAAATTACTTTTTTTTTAAATACCAGAAATTGGCTTTCATAGTTTTGAATTTCATTTTAGGATATAATTTTGATGTAATTTCTCAACCACCTCTCAGGTTCATGTTGTGAATTACTTCTAACCTTGTGCTGAATTAATTACAAGATAGCTGCCGTTGGTATGGAGAGAAAAAAACGTTAGTTGTATCAGATTGCTTTCAGTATCATATGCCACATGGCAGTTTAGTAAGCAGTATATCAGGTCTAACTTTTAAGTGTGCTTAGTAAAGCAGTATTGTGAAGTGCATCATATAACTGTAAAGTATGGGAATTAGTTGTGGTTGAGAAAGTCACGTTGGCATCAGGACAGTGGGGAAGTTGTGTTCCTATAGCACTGGAGCGGAAAAGAGTCGGCGGATATGGAGTGACTGCATAAAGGAGTCAAGTGTATTCAAATGGGTGTCTATGGCATTCATTCAGTGTGAGAAGCTAGGCTTTGGCATGATACACTGCTGCTTTAAACAAATCTTAAGAAAGCAGATAGCACATTTAAAGCTTTGGGTGGAGTTGGCGAGTGTTGTTTTAGCTGGGCCATTCCGTTCCAGTCTGTGCTGGGTGGATATTCCATTACAACACTTTATATCTGGGGTCTAAAAGCTCTTGGCCTCAACTGAAGAATAATTAAACCTGTCTTGAATAAAATAAATTTCTGTTGTAGGTTCTTATGATGTGGCATAAAATATTAAAATAAAGTTTCAAAAACAGAATTGCTTAGGTAAATTACCTAAAGGATCTAAATAAAGAACTTTTGTAATACATACAGTACATAGAAAAAGTAGATGAATTTTCTTCCTTTTTCACATAAGAGTAATTTATGAGAAACGCATTCATAGGTTAGTGGTTTTGGGGGCTCTGTAACATTTCCGCTGGAGACATCTGCTCACTATCATAGTGTCTGCTTTTCATTTTTGCCAAAGAACATAGATAGCTGTTGTTTGATTTCCCTCAGACTAAATATGGAGTGGGGAATCAGTGGTACAGCCGGCCATGTTGTCCATTAACGTGCTTTACCCTGCCTTATGAAATATCATGAATGTCTCCCTTATAATGATACTCCCCACTGGCTTGTATAGAGAACGGATTTCTGGCGGTCAGTGCCAAGCATAAAATGGTCCTTTGTGCTTTTGAACTCGGTGAACTGTGGTACAGATGTAAGAATGGCCTCTGTTCAAACAGAGTGCCTCAAGTAAAAGAAATGTTATCTGGAGCATTTCATG